GCACCCTAAAGGGGGCCTTCCCTGCCACTGAGATTTCTCAGAAGCACCAGGTTCCCTGGTATGTCTCGGCTTCTTTATTGAGGAAAACATGCTGCATAAGTGGAGGCTGTGGGAATCATTCAGGTTAACATAGTTTGGGATCTGCACATTTGTAGAACATACACAAGCTTCTTCTGGAATCTCAAAACAGGGAGACTAAAAAGGGTCAGAGACAGTGGGAATGTGCTTATGTATTTTTAGAGGATTACCCCAGAGGCATTGCTGTGGTCCTGTGCTCTGGACATGGAGTGCTGAATGGAGCTGGTGTCCACTGTCAGTGCTGACAGTGCAGCTGGTAGATGAGATGTGTGTGAGAAATTGTGGGGGAAAAAAAAAAAGAAATTGTGTAAACCCTGCGCTAGCAGGATACATCTCAGAGGGCAAGGCTAGCCTGGACCTGAGGTCTTTGAGTGTTTGAACTTTCTAGAGCCTGAGGTCTTGAAGCAGCAAAGAAAGGGTAGATTCTGGAGAGAGAGAAAGGAGATACTGGGTCTGCCTATGTGGAAAAAGACCTGAGGAACCAGGAGTAGTGGGTAAACATAAACTCTTGAAGGTATGGCAGTGGCAGGAGGGAAATGGCATTCTGTAAGCTGAACCTCTTGAATTCAAGGACCAGTGATAATAAGGGACAAGGAAGATGGAACAAATGGACCAAACCCTAATAGGACTTAATGTAGGTCATGTGGGGGTGGGGTCAGAGCTAACCCTGTGGTCACAAGCCTAAACAACTGACAGGATGTGAAACTGGGAAGGGTGTGGGAGACAGGAAGAAGTGTTCAGTGGGCAGCATCAAATCCAGCTCTGAGTCCTGGTGAGAGGCTAGACCTTCAGTTCCAGGGGTTGCTGACTCCCACAGGGCCTAATGGCCAGTAATGGCATTCAGAATAGTTAGATGCCTTGAGCCACTGGAAAGTCAGGTGGTCCCTGAATCTTCTTGGTGGCCTTTAAGCCAAAATCTATGCTCAGTTAATTTTTAATCAGGGGCTTGTTAGGAAAGGTCTCTCTGATGTGTTTTGAGTTCCCAAGCAGTGAGAGCTGTAGCCCATGGGTCTACTGGGCCTGCTGCTACAAAGTTTGGAATGGGGGACCTACAGATGTCTGGGTGCCCTCTTCACTGAAAATGTCCATTTAAGGCTGCTTGATCTCAGCTATCCCCTTGACTGTTGTTTGGGAGAAGGCTATTTCCCAGCAGCATCCCTGTTGTGGAGTGGCTATCTCTGAGTTGGACATGGCCTTGGAAAGGCCTTTGTCCAGCCTCAATAACCTTCCCTACTTGGACATCCTTGTTTTCTACCCCAGGATATCCTCTTTGATGCAAATACACACAAAGTGAAGAAGTTTGTCCTACACACCAATTACCCTGGGCATTATAATTTTAATATGTGAGTATACCTATACCTTCCCCTCCCAAGAACTGAGCTTTGGGTTGAAAATCCCCAGGAAAAGAGAGCTTGTGGCTTTGAATGTTCACTAATTTGTCTGTACCTGACTTCTTACAGTTTCGTGGGAAGCGAACATTTCCTGAGTGTTTGCTCTGTTCCTGGTACAGTGTCTATACCTTAAGTCTCTCCATTTGTACTCATTTTACAAATAGGGAAATAGGTTCAGAGAGCTTCGTATCTTGTCCAAAATGATGTACCTGTCCAAGATGGCTCTAGACCCCAGAGCCAGGGCTTTGGGGGGTGGGTTCCTTCTGGGTTTCCTGGGGTGCAGGGTTGAAATGCATGGGTGGTCAGGCCTCTCAGAGGGCCCAGCCTTTATCCATCTGGCTTCTCTCTCTAGTTATCACCGCTGTGAGTTCAAGATCCCACTAGCCATAAAGAAAGGTGAGTAGTGGATATCCTCAGACTGAGAAAAGGGTTTTGAAGTTAACCTCATGAGAAGACAGTGATCCAAACAGAAATGGTAGCAGGAGCCTTTGCCTACCTGCTTTGCCCATAGTCTGCTTTGCCCATAGTCTGCTTTGCCCTCAGCTTCTCTGGGTTAGGGCTTTATGCTCCTGGAGGCTCTCAAGGTCTTTTTCTATGATCATGGGATTAGTGGTCTCTGATGGGGAGAATTTCCTACATACGATTATCTAGGTGCTCCCGAGTCAGCCTTGTGACTGCTGTCCCCTCTTGGTTCTCTACCCTCTTTCATTCAGGAATTCTGAAATAGCCCATCTGTCCTCCCTCCGTACTCCAACCCTAATGCACAGAGTGGCCAGGTCTGGATTCTGCCTAGGGCTGGGGTCACAGGTGAGCTGGGCCAGCAACCAACCCACTCTATTCTCTTTTCAGAAAATGCAGATGGTCAGACAGAAACATGTACAACCTACAGCAAGGTGAGCTCCTATTTTCCCACCTCATGTAGCCCCAAAATGAGGTAGGTGTGAGCCTGCCAGCAGTCTAGGGCCCGTGTTTCTGGGCCAGCCATTGGTCATAGGCATGATTAGGTCTCTGCTAACCCCGTGCCGCCTTTTGCAGTGGGACAACATCCAGGAGCTCCTGGGCCACCCTGTGGAGAAGCCTGTTGTCCTGCACAGGTGAATAGGAGGTTGCTGTCTCTGACCACCCTGTCCTGCTCCTCACAGCCCAGAAGACTGAGGGAAGCCTAGCAGTACCTATGGCTTAGAAATGACAGAAGTTGTCTTGTTGCCACATACGTACTTCCTGCCCCCACCCTGCATATTACCACTGGGCCAGCTATTCTGCATATTTACCTACACCAGAGAGGTGCCCCCCTCCCCGGGGATAGCTCCCCTCTCCAGGTAGGGAGGGCTTTCACCTCTAGTTATTCAGAAGGGAAGCAGTTTTCACTGACTGTCCTGGCTCTTTTTTTCCCATTAAAGTTGCCACATGCTATAGTCTACAGCTTCATACCCACTTGCCATCCTGCTTGAGGCTCCTCCCTCCTAACTTGCCACTCTAGTCTAATTGCATAATAACTTCCTGTGCCCCATTGGGCTTTGTAGGGTTCAGAATTTAAATGATACCTATCACTACCCCTGGTACCTCAAGGGCCTGTGTAGGAAACAGCCATGGGAGATACTGGCCAGTGGCCCCCATCTCAAAAGGGACTAGATGCCCTGCCTGGACTCGGCTTCTGTCTGCCTTTCTAATTCTAGCTTCCCTGGCCACAGGTCCTCCTCCCCAAACAATACCAACCCATTTGGCTCCACATTCTGCTTTGGTCTTCAGCGGATGATCTTTGAGGTAAGTCCTGGGGGTTGATGAGCTAATGGCCATGGCAGGGACAGGCAAGTGATGGAGTATGGTTAGGGAGGGCCTGACGGCCCTGCTGGTTACTGATTTTCTGGTAACCCTGTCTGCTAAGAATATGACCTGCCCACATTTAACAGTAAGAGTTCAGAAATTATGTTGGGGAAATTTGAGGTCATGGAGGCTACAGTGGTCTATATCCAGCAAGATGAGAGGTAACGGGGATCCCACATATGTGAAAACATAAATATGGTAGGAAAGGGAACCCCTGGGAGCAAGTGGAGCTCAGCATGGGAGTACTGGGGGCCTTTAAATGCCATATTAAAGAATGTGCTATGGGTAAGTGGCTATAGAGGCCCCATTGGCTAGGAAGAAGAATGGGCTGTCCCTTGTCTACCTTTTGGATGCTACACCTTCAGTAGGCCCCTGGCAGTGCCAGAAGGACTGAATAAATATGTAGAGTGAAGTTTTTGTATCCCATGAAGAACACACAGTTGCTGGGCCAGAGATGACCCAACCCTGTGTGCAGGTGTGTTGCACATACAACCTCCGTCCTTTGTGTACAGGAGCTACCCCAAATCCTGTGTCTGCACTCACAGCTCCCGTACTGGTGGTTTTTATGGATCTGATTGCCTGCCCTGCCTACATCCTTTCCACTCCATCCCTTTGACTCACTGTCTTCTTCTCACACCAGGTCATGCAGAATAACCATATTGCCTCGGTGACCCTGTATGGCCCCCCCAGGCCTGGTGCCCACCTGAGAACAGCAGAGCTCCCCTAAGGACATCACTGGCCCATGCCCCTCTGCCCTGTGGAGCTGTGCATTGGTTCCTATTCAGTGGGCCTCCATGTGCCACCCTGTGGATATTCTTGAACACCTTGCCATTGTTGAAAGGCTGTTGTGATGTTCTGAGGTGGAGCTTGGACTATGTGCTCTGCCATGGGGTGAGAGGCTCGGAGATTCCTCTGTCTTTCCTCAGCCTGCTTTTGCCAACAGAGGACACAGACTGCAAAGAGAAGCACAAACTCTGAGCCTTGATACCTGGACCCAGGCGACCTCGACTAACACATATGGAGACAGAGGTCTGTCTCTCCTGTTCCACATGCATTGCGAAAAGTTAGTACTCTTTCTGTGGCTGAGGACAGAGGCAGGCACCCAGGACAAGGACAAGATCCTGCCTTTGGCCCATCATTGCCACATGACCCTTCAGGCAAGCAGGTGGCATGTCCATAGTACTTGGTTGCGACTTTTGCACTACATCCACTTTAGTTACTTGATGAGCTGGCTGTGGCCAAGATGGCCCAGTTCCTTCCCTGTTCCTTCTTTGCACGTGCTCCCTTCCAGGCCCAGTAGGCACACCTAACTCATTGAAACACAGCTTTTTACCATCCAGGAATGTGCCCAGGCCTGGTTCCTACCCCTCTTGGAGCCAGCCTTCAAGGTCACCTGTGCCCCTGCTGTGCCCCAACCTGGCTTAGCAGGCTGCATGTTTCCATCCTGTTTGCCTCTTTTATTTAATGCCAAAGTTTTAGCCAAAGACATCTTCCTCCTTTTGTTGTTTCGGCATTCTGTTCTGCACTGTGGGCTGGCTCTCTTGCCCCAGCCCTGGGCAATGTCCCCTGGCCAGGCCCATTCATGGCTCAAGGCCTCTGGGGACTCAAGGAAGGCTGGACTGCTCAGTCTTTTCATGGGTCTTGCTAAGGAAAGTAGCATATGTGCTTTAAAAATAATCCTTTTGAAAAGAATTGAGAAGAGAAATGTATAATTTTATCCCATTTTTAATATTTTGGTCTAGCAACTTGTGATACATAGATGACAATTTTGTGAGTTTTTCAAATGTGTGTACAGATTTTTGTAAATATGACTCTTTTGTAATTAACTCATGTACAGCCTCATCCTATAGAGTTTAACAATGAATGTGCAGGGGACCTGCCCCAGGCTCCTAAGTGGTTCCTGGGCGTACAGCCAGCCTTATGTGGCACTCCCATAATTTTGTGACTGACTAGTGTCTTCCCATTTGGACTGTGGCCTGGCCAGAACCCCCCCCCCCCACACACACACACACACACACATCCCACTGTAGGGGCAGCCAGGACTATTCCCATTTTCCTAGAATAGGGGAACCCTCCTCATGCCCTGCCCATACCCCTCCAATAAAGACCTATGCCCTCAGCAGCGGCTCACCATGTGCTGTTGCTGGATGTTTGTACTAAAATAAGCATGGGAGTGTTGATTTTCAAGAAAGTGGGTGAACAATATGGGAAGTTTTATGGTAGAGTCATCTTAGGTTCCTTGCCTCTCTGGAGTGGGGCAGCACAGCTTCAAGTAGGAGACTGGTGTGTGTGTGTGTGTGTGTGTGTGTGTGTGTGTGCGCGTGTGCGTGCGCGTGCGTGCAAATTCTTGTGTGGTGGAGAAAGACTCTAGGTAGGACCAGGCAACTCAGTGTGTCTCCATCCATGGTGTTCCAGCCAGACCAGGGCCTAGGAGGGGTTGGCTTCAGGAAAGAAGACCTAAGAAGAAGATCTAAAGGTGAGTACATGGCTGAAAATCCAATGTGGAGGGACAGATGGGAATCAAAATGCCTACCTTCAGATTGAGTTATAGCAAAATGCCTGCCAGTTCCATGAGGACTGAGGCCAGGCCCCCACACCTTCTCCAGCCTTGAGAAAGATCTGCATGTGTATCACTCAGGGACTTCCAAATCAAGGAGTATGGTCCGATTCCATGAGCCTCTGCCACCACCCATCCCCAACCCCCTAAAACCTACTTGGTGCTCGGAGGACCAAACATGTCCACCTGTTTGGTGGGGCTTGGTGCTCTTTGGCCTCAGTCCTGGCTGTCTCAAAGAGCTACCATTCAGTTGCTTCTAGATCACTTCCCAGTAGGGTAGGTGTGCAGGAGCCAAGCTCAATCTTCATTCCCTAGGGACTTGAGGCAGACTTTCAGGGGTAGGAGGCTAGATTTTGAAGTGTACCTCTGGGAAAGAACTACATACACGGCAGTAATCCTACTGGGTCTTAGTGAGAGGCTCTTGGGGCCATGAAGGTGGCTAGGGGCCCCACTGGAAAGAGCCAGCAGCGACAGGCCATGGACGGGCGCAGGCTGGCCCTTGGGGCCCGTTCAGTAGGCGCCACATAAGCCACATGTCCGAGGCCGAGAGCCCGTGCACTACCACCAGCTCTCGGTAAAAGCAGGGGTCAAAGGTGCGCAAGTGCGGCGCGGCTGAAGGACGAGGGATGCCAAAGGTGCGGAAAGCAGGGTGAGGCTCGGGTGTGAGCCGAAGGCGCTGGAGACACATACCCAGAAACACGTCGTCAATGGGGAAAAGCTCAACCTGCGCGCAGGCGCCGGCCAGGCGACGCAGCGTGACCCCCGAGAGCACAAAGCCGCCGCCACCCGCGTAGGCTGGGTAGGCGGGCAGGCCGTACACGGCCTCCGGGATGTAGTACTTGCTGGCCCGCGTGCGGATTGGACGCGCCTGCACGATCACATCACCCGCAAGCAGGTCCTGCGCCGGGTCGCGCGGCGCCAGGAACGCCAGCAGGTTTCCCACGTGCACAAACACGTCTGCGTCGCCCTTAAAAACGAAGCGCACCTGGGGGCAGTAGGCCGAGGCCCAGGCCAGGAAGTGGATCTCCTTGAGCGTTAGGTTGAAGAACGTGTCGTCGAACGCCCAGAGGAGGATGTCCGCGTACGCGCGGCTCTCGGCACGCAGCAGGGCAGGCCAGTGGCTCCTTGGGCCTTCCCCCTCCGCGTCGGCCCCGTCGGTGCCCGCGCCCCGGGGCACGCCGAGCAGGAACACGCGGCGCACGAGCGCCCCCTGCACGCGACCCTCAGCACCCCACGTCTGGCGCACGGCTTGGCGCCGCTCGAAATCCGCCGCCACCGATTTGACGGCGATGAGCAGGTCGGGTCCCCCCGCGGGCGAGCCATCCCCTCGGCACTTGTGCGGCTGGTTGATGAGCAGGGGGAAGCGCCGCTGGTCCTTGGCGCGCAGGTAGCGGCCAAAGTCAAAGGGCCCCGTGGGTGTGGGCGGCTCCGGCGTGTCCCCTTCGTAGGCCAGCGGGGCCGCGGCGGCGCCTGCGTCCGGGGCTGGGAAGACGCGGAGGCCTGGGGTGGGCCCCGGCTCGGCCTCCCCTTGCGGCCGGGGGGCGCCGGTCGTCGGGGCCGCGCCCTCGCGCTGCGCGTAGAGAAGGAGGCCGAGGGCGGTGCCCAGGAGCAGCGTGAGAGACGCGTCCCCGCGGAGGCGCAGCCTCCGCCTCATGTCCGAGCGGCTGGCGCCCGCGCCCCCTGCGGAGAGACGCGGTCAGGGGCTCGCGACGCGGAAGCCATTGGCCGGGAGGGGCTCCGGGCGTCGCTGTCCCCGAGGGCAGGGGGCGGAGGCCGCAGGCCCAGGGCCTCCGCTACGCGCCATCCATCCCCCTCGGGCGCTCCTGCTCTGGGCCGTGGCACCCCGCGCGGGGCTGGGCACCCTGGGGGGCTGCAGGTTCCTCCTACACAGTCCCCACCCCCTCAGCGCCGCCGGACGCGGCCCCCAGGCCGGAGACGCGGGGCTCGGCCCTTCCCCGCCCGCCTTCCCGCAGCAAAGCCGATCCCTTCGCCCACTCCCTACCCACCACGTCGCTCCTTGGGATCCTGACACGCTTGTCCCTTGGGAGCGGCGCGGCCCCGGACGCCAGGGCCTCCGGGGCTCCGCGCGGGGTCCCAAGGGCAGCCAGGGACGGGGCCTGGGCCAAATGCAGCGTTGGCAGGAAGGGGGGGCCGGGGCCGCCGCCACGTGACCCTCCAGCTGTGCGCGCCTGGACATCTGGAGCTCGGCTCCGCCCTGGCGCCGCGGGCAGCGCCGTCTCCGAGGGGAGACTAATCTGAGAGGGCTCCCCCAGGCAGCTCTCGCTGGGCAAGCCTGAGGAGGCGAGTTCTGGTCTCAGGGTGGGCTCCAGTTCCCCACATCTGCTTTTTTTTTGGGGGGGGAGCAGGAAGGAACCTTAGCCTCTGGTTAATCTCCACACCCCCACCTCTCCAGAGTGAGGCAGGGCCTGGCTTGGCAGGAGCCCAGGGCAGGCGGGTCCCAAGCCCTGAGGCTGAGCATTTTAGGCATCTACTTGGCCACAGCCTCAGGCGATCCTTGGAAGCGCTTCTCAGCTCTCAGCTCACCAGCAGCCCAGGTTCAACCGGGCAGGACCTGTATATAAATCACAGACCTCGCGGACCCGCTGCCTCCTTACTCCTGGCTCCGCTGTGCCGCCCCTGCTCCCGCCCCAGCAAACACACACTGGGACCAACAGGGCAGCTCATTCGATTGTCACAACTCTGGTAGCAGCTTTCGTTGCTCGTGCCCAGAGGGGGCCCTGCCCCTCAGGGAGTTAAGTGACTTGCCCAGCATCATACAGAAAGAAATTAAGAGCATTGCCCTAGGTCTTCTGGAGTTCAGTCTGGGCCTCTTTCCTCTGTCCTCCCTTGCCTCCTCCCCATCTGTCCACCAGGACAGGAGGCCAACACTGTCTGCCTTAACTTCACAGGTGAGCGCTTCATTCTGTCTCCCCAGAGGCACCTCCCGGCCCCATGGTCCCTAGTGCCCCAAACCAGCATAGCCTCCTACAGGCAGAAATAACTTGGCCTGGGTCACCGTAGGCCGGATTGGACTGGCAGGAATGGTTCAGCTTGAGGGATTCCTGAAGTAGGCTGATGAATAAAGGGCTTGATCTGGGACCCATGTGGGCAGAGCGTTCCTCTGGAGATTGAGAGCCCCCATCCCAGCAGGCAGCCCCACCCTCCATCCAACAAAAAGACAAACTCTGAGGTCCTCCTGCACTCTCCTCATCCGTTGGTACTAGGCCTGTTATCCTCCATCCTAAACAGCTCTCCATGTTGTCATCCTTCCCCCCATCTCTACTGCCATAGCCTAGGCCTCCACTCCTATGCTCCCCTCCCCCAACCTCTAACTCTTTCTCTCCCTCCTCACCAGCCTCCCAACCTTAACTCCTCAAATCCTCTAAATGCTTCTCACTGGCCTCAGTATAAAATCCGAAATCTGTAAAATGACTTACCAGACCTGGAACTGCCTCCCACACTCACCAGCCGCTCTCATTGCAAACCCACCTACCTACCCCTAGGTCCACCCACGCCAAACTGTCTTTCCTTCTAACATTCCTCAAGACATCACCGCAGGTGAAGCTCTGCCCAAAATGTTGCCATTCCCTCAACCCCATACCAGCTCCCCTTTTCACACTCCTCTCGTCTCACTGGAAGCCTAGCCCCTAACCTGGGTTAGGCACCTCCTCAAAGCTCCCACAATTTTTATATTTTTCACAATAAAAAAAAAACAGGTAATATTTTATTACTATTGCTTAAAATTTGCAGTCTGACACTGAGTATGAACTGGAGGCAGGGAGGTTTTGTGTATCTTGTTCACCACAGTATTTGCAGCACCCAGGATGATGGCTAGGACACAGCAAGTGCTTCATACATAGTTTAGTTGTTCAATGAATGAAGAGGTAAGGGCTGGCCAGAAGCCCTGCCTTTGGGGTGGGTAAACTGCTGGAGTAGGCTGCCCACGCACTCCACTGCTATCATAGTATCTGGGGCCAAATCCCCAGTGGCACCCCAACAGGCATGGCGGGTGCTTGCCCAACTCCTGGAGAAGGCAGTCAACACTGCCCAGGAGCTCCAACAGCTGGGCCAAGCGGGGTTGTAAGTGTGGTCTCAGAGTCCTGTGGATGGATAGGATCTCAGCAGTAGCAGCAGAAGGGACCCTAGGGTCATCCAGGTGCTCCAAACCCTGTTGGGCAACTGACCGATTGCCCCTTTTCTGGTACCCAGTCTAGGCCAGGCCACCATCGGGATTCGTGAGGCCCAGCAAGTCCTCTGCCAGGCTGGTGAGCTCGTTCTCCTCGAGGGCCTCTACGAGGCGCTGCAGCGTGGCGCGGCGGCCCTCGGCCTGCACGAAGCGCTTCAGCAGCTGGAAGGCCTGCTCGTAGAGCCCTTCGCGCTCATACTCATAGGCCAGGGAGTCGAGCGCCGGGTCCTTCAGCGCTCGGCAACCTCGCTGCAGGGAACGCCCCACTTTGCGCCATTTGAGACCCACTGAGCGCGCGAACTTCTGTTGGTCCTGCAGGCTCAGCGGCCGGTTCACTGCGGAGGCGCGTAGGAAGCAGAGTGAGCGCGCGGGGAGGCCAGGACGGGCACCCCCCCCCCATTCCCGCCCCAGACCTTGCTCCTCCCCAAACTCTGCCTTCCCAAGGACTCTACCTCGCCCTCTGGCTCTCTGCGCACGCCTCACCTATGGGTTGTCCTTGGAACAGAAAAGTCTGGCCAGGTGGCGGCGGCGGCGGCTTCTCCTCTGAGAGGGAGGTGGCCAGGGACTGCGAGGGCGCTGGAGCGACCTCCACGTCGCCATCCTGGCGCCCCGAGCCACATGTCAGGTTCCGCAGTGCGTCCTCCAACTCCGAGAGTTCCTCGTCCCGGAGCCGATCAGGCTAGGGAGGGGAGTGCGGCGTCGGTGGGGGTCTTAGCCTTGGTCCCCGCCCCACGCCAACCTGGCCCCGGCCAAGCCGCACCTTCTGGGCAAAGATGCAACTCAAGCAGCGCTCCTCATCCGTCAGCAGGGTGTCCAGCCGCTCCGCGCCGGCGCGCAGCTCCAGTTGCAAAGGCACGGAGCGCTGGGCGAGAGCCGCCGCCAGGCACGCTTGCAGCGCGGCGCGCAGCGACCCCTCGCGGTAAGCGCGGAGGAAGCGGCTGCAGGGCTGGCGCCCGCAGAAGCGCAACTGCACAATCAGCTGCGGCTCACTGCGGTGGATCTTGAGCATCTGCAACACGTCTGGGCTCCCGCCACTCTCTGCGGAGGCGGACAGTCAGGCGACAGGAGGTCCCCACGCGGGGCCGTTCTCCAAGCGGCCGTAGTGGGGTGAAGCCCACGCAGACTCCCTCCCTGTCCCGAGCTCCCAGCCGGTAAACAAAACTGGGATGCACACAGCAGCAACCCAAAATGAAGGCCAGAACCTATCACAGGGAGTACCCTAAGACAGAGTGGGTGCCACCCCAGCCCCATCCTGAAGCCCCAAATAAGGGTAGGCAAAAGGGAAGTGGGGAGAGGCTTTGCAGCACAGAGAGGGGCATGTGCCCAGGGCAGCCAAGCCATCTGGGTAGGCGGCCACGGGGGCAGCGGAGGAGCGAGAGGTCTCAGGTCTTCAGCCTCTACCAACTGTAGCTCCCGCTGCCCAAGAAGGAGGCGGATCCCCCAACCAGTTTCAGCTTCCTGTGGCCTCTGCCCTGAGATGGGAAAGGAGCCCAAAAGGTAGGTACTGGGGAGGGGTCTTGGGCAAGGAGTGCTGCAGTGAGAGAGGAAAAGAGAAAGATACCCGATTAGTAGAAAGCAGCGAGCTGGCTGGTCTGGGGAGTGCGGGGCATGGAGCGGGGCTGGGGCGTTAGTGCGCAGACAGGCAGATCATACACAGACACGGGGACACACGTCTACACCTAAGGGCACACATATATAAACGGGTAAGATGCAGCCTATGAAACCAGCCTATGAATCCCTCTCCTCTCCCCCTGCCCCCGTCAAATCTTTTCCATAAGGCAGTGGTTAAGCACAGGCCCACAGAGTTGAGGAGCTGGGGCATGGCCCCCTGGTCTGGCCCACGAAAGGCCCAAGCCCCCCTTCCTCTTCAAGTGCCCCCCTGCCCACGCACCTGCCAGCGCAGTCCGCAGAGCCCTGTACACCGGCACCTTCTGCTGGGCCTGAGCGTAGGCATCAGATAGGACCACCTTGTCCAGCGAGGACTCCACAAACAGGTATGCGCTGCCCACCCACTCCTCGAGTCCATCTGGCCCAGTCGCCATCTTGCCTCCTGGAGACGCAGATGGTCAGGCATCCAGACCACCCCCAACCCAGCCGTAGAGACAACTGTCCAGCCCTGAGTGGCTCAGCTGTCCCCAGCCAGCTGGCACATTTGTGAGGGGAAGTTCATCCTCCTACAGGCGGCCCCTTGTGCCTCTGAATCTGCACAGCCCAGCCAGGCTCAGCCCAGACCTGCGGGAGGCCTGTCCCTCCACTAATTTCTCAGAGAAAGCCCAGGGTTACAGTGGCAGAGAAAGGGAGATATTATCCTGCAGTGGTGACAGAGAAGTTCTGACCCCTCCTGGGCCAGGATGTCTCTCTTTCAAAGCTGACAGGAGCCATCCTTATCGTGGATAGTGCCCATGCCACACAGCCAACCGAGCCCATGCCCTGGTATGCCTTCAGCTTAATCTTGAGCCCCCAAGATCACTTTGGGACCACAGCCCCCATTAGGTTTTCTCACCTGCATTCCTACTGTACCTCCTGGTTTCATTTTAAAGGATATCTGTGGTTTTCACCTGCCCAGATTCCCTCTCCCAATCCTGACTGACCTTTGGGGCATCCCCTCTTCCCTCTTCTCAATCCACGGCTAACCCCACTCCTTAGTTCCAGGTGTGCACAAGTGAAATATACCTAGCCAAACTGCATATTCCACTCCTCTTTCTAAAGTGATTTGTTCAGAGTTGGACATAGGTTTTAGTTTGGACCAATCAGAACCAGCTTGCAACCTTAGCTGGACCGATAAGAAAGAGATATTGTTTCCCTTCCCACCAGACTAAGCTGGAAGAAAGGGTAGAACTCATCTGCCACTGCCTGGAAAGAGCCTGGCTGAGGATAAAATCGACAAAGATACACAGCCAAAGATGAATAGGTGCGTGCCCAAATGTACTGTGCTCCTGGCTTTGTCTGCACCTTGAACTTTCCAGTTATGTGAGTTAAATCATTCCTTTATGTTCTAAAGTCCTTGGAACTGGGCTCTTGTCTTATGCAACTCAAATCATTCTATTACAGATTTCCTCCTTGTCCAGACAGAGCCAGGGCCCCTTGGTGCTTGTATCTCTTCTGTCTTCTGACAATATCCTAGCCCTAGATGGGGGAGGGGGCAAAATCCCAGTCAGGAAACCACTTCTTTGACCCTCCTCAGCTAAATTGCCTCCCAGTTACTGCACCACGAGGCAGCAGGTGGAGAACTGCCCTGCCTCTTCTTCCCTACTTCACCTCAGGCAACATCCCCTCCTTTTCCTAGAAACACAGGCTCAAGACCCCACCTACCGCCCCACCAGTCACACTTCTTTGTCTCTGATCTTTGTTATTTATATACTGTAGGCCGGGACGGCTGAGGAGTTGCTGAGCCCTAGCTGTGAGCATCCTGAATGTCAATCCTTTGAGCAGAACAGAAGGGGTGGCCCCAGCTGGAATTCGTTTACACGAGGGTCAGGGAACAAGGGAAGAGGAGGCACTGCCCAAGGGAACCAGGACCACAGCCTTGGACCTTGCTGGGGAAGGAGTAGGAATCCTGAGCTCAACGCAGAGGCTGCATTTCAGATCTCCCCCCAGACCCTAACCTGAGAGCCAAAACTAGGATAGTAACTGGGCAGGGGCCCTCTAGCATCACCCAGACCTGGCAAGAGAAATGATATCTGGTGATGGTTGCTCCCACCCTCGGTCTGAGCAGAGGGGACATGCCTTTTGAGCGCCCCCTGTCCTAACCTTCTGGTAGAAAACATATTAATACTCCTGTATTAGGGCGAAGCAGTAGTCTGGAAATTAACAGGAAGCTAGCTAACATTGTTAGCAGGGGGTTGGGGAAGAAAGCAGGGGGAGAGGAGGTTCTTATTTTCATTGTATTTAGTAACATTCTACTTTATGTAACATAGACATGTCCTTCATAGTAAAAGGCAACATAAAATTGAAGCAAAAAACAAAAACAAAAAACCCAAACGGGGTAAGACTCTATAGGTGAGGAGGGGGACCAAGAGCCGTACAAGACAAGAGAGACAAGTTAGGAGCCCAAGGGGAGTGGCCCAGAAGGTAGGAGAGTGTGGGGACCTGTCTGAAACATTTCCTCTTCCAAGTCTTCTTAGCGCCGAGACTGAGGGTGCTGACCTCATGAATGTGATCGGCCCCAGGGGTGGAAGTAGGGGCAGGAAGAGGCCAGCGTCTGCCTCTCAGGACGGGCACTAGAACCCTGGAAGAAGAGGGGATGCCCCATGACACTGGCTGGTGGACCGTGGGAGGTCAAACAGGTCTGCGGGGCTGGAGGTGGAGAGCGGCAGGTAACAGGGGCCGGACCCTCGGCTCGCGTCGTTCCCTGGGCAACTCCTTCCTGCGTGTCTCCTGCAGAAGCGCATCCCCGACAAGCCCCGCGCCTCACCGCCGGGGTCCGCCGCTCGGAGGGTGGGCCCAGCTGGGTCCCGGGGACTCCTGGCGAGCTGAGGCTGTGAGGGGCCAGCCAGGCGCAGCGCCCCTCCGCGGCCCTCGGGCCGCACCCACCGCGGGGCGCCCCGACTCCGCCGGCCCGCCCCCCCCCCGGCCTCCAGCTGCGCGCGCGTGCGGGGCTCGCAGGGCCTCGGCTCGGCGCTTCAGGAGCCCCGCCGCCCGCCTCCCGCCAGCAGGGACCGGGCGCCCCCTCGAAGCACCCTAGCCGGGCCCAGGAACCTGGGTGCTCACGGCGCCCCGCTGGCCGGCGCCGCTCGCGGAAACAGCCCCACGGGCCGCCTCTGCCCCCGCCGGCACCGGGAAGCCCCCCGCACTAACCTGGCCGCCTCGGCCCGGCCGGGACTCCCACGCCCGCGCGGCTCCTCGCGGCTGGGACGCTTCCGGGTGTGCGCGAGGCGCAGGGGCGGTGCCTGACCGAGCCGCCCCGTGGGCCGCGGCGTCCCGCCCCCTGCTCCCGGCCGGTCTTCCCGCCCACTGTGCGCCGCCGCGGGTCCCCGCCTCTGGGCACAGCCCACCGGGTCCGTGGAGCAGGTAAGACGCTGGCGCCGGAGGTTGGACGGCGAGAAGAACGGCCCCAGGCACAAGCCTTCGGCGCTTTCGGCGCTTTCGGCTCCCCCGAGGGGGTGGGGGGCGGGTGAGAGCTGCCCCGCTTTCTCAAGCGGGGAGCAGACGGACCAACACGGGGCACCCCCTGGACACCAGACTTGTCTAGTGACGTCTGGGGGCCTTGGGCTCTATGACCTCTGACCTCTCCTGCTCCCTGACACTCAGAACGGGACGCTGGTGGGTTCAGGTTCAAGCCTGGCCGCGGGTATCTGAAGCCCTAGGATCCATGAGGCGCAAATTGCAGCGGGGACCGTTAGCCTGGAAAATATAGGGAAATAGGAAACTGGGGAGTGGTGTGGAACGCTGCGTGGGAAAACCTTCAAGCACCCTACAAACGGGCAACTTGGAAGAGGACGCACACTTTTCAATAAAGGCCGCGCTCCGGGCTGGGTCTGCAGAATTCCAGCTGAACCGACGCCGCCCAACCCGAGCCTGGACTGCGCCGGGGGCAGGATCAACACTTGAACCCGGGGCGCCTCAGGCCCCAGAACCTGAGGCCTTTCTCCGCCCCGCCGGCCTTCCTCTGGGAAGCTCCGGGGCCGTCTCCCCAGCGAGGTGGAGGGCAGGAAGACGCCTCCTCTCGCCGAGCAGATTCCGCGGTGCCCCACCCGCGCCCCAGCCTCCTGATTGGCTGGTGGCCCCCGCCAATTACAAGTCTTCTCCACTGACCCCGCCCTGTTAACCCCACCGTCGCTCTCCAGTGGCTGGCTTGGCCAGGACGCGGTTTCTAAACTCGGGACCTGTGGAATCAACTGGCATTTGTTGAAATTCAGATTCCTGGCCCCTACTTTTTCCGGAGAGCCTGATTTAATAAGTGGGTACCCCCCCGCCCCCCAAGGACTGAGTTCCAGTCCTTCCCTGGAACTCAGAGTATAAGTTGGGAAGAAAACAGTTCTAGAAGATGTCTGGGAAACTGGTCTGGTTAGTCGGGGTGGCTCTGAGTGTGTGTATAGGGAGGCAAAAGGAGGCGAGATGGGCTCTCGGAGGGAGGGGAGGGGAGGATGGGGTTGCCCCAGGTCAGGGCTGGTGCAGCCGCCCTCCATCTTCCCCAGGGAAAACTTCAGTGACTAGGAGAAAGATCGGATAGCATTTTCCAATCCGGATATTCGGCTTTTTCAACTTCACACACAGGTGGTGGTTGCATTCCTCCTAGTGTAGCATAAAATGCAGATCTATTCGAGTGAGAACGTAGTGTAAAGGAGAATCAGAAATCTTTCAGCATCCAGGGCCGATAATGGGTCTGAGACCTGTGCAGTAAGTGGGACAGGGCCTCATGCTTGGTTTAATAACTCGGCTAAATGCTCTGCTGTCACTGTCTTGAAAGTACTAATAATATTTTCAGCAAAGAGTCCCACATTTTCATTTTGCACTGAACTTTGCAAATTATGTAGCAACTTCTGGGCCACAGGTCTTTTTACACATAGGCTCCACTGGTTCCCTCAACACTTTGGATTTCTTGAGCCCAGAGACACCCCTCTCCCTCTTTCCAGGAGAGAGCTGTTGGAAGCAGCAGAGCTCCCACCCTGCACAGGGCCATGGCTGAGCCTGGAGAGCAACTGCCAGAGGAGGTGCTGGCACTCATCTTTCGCCACCTGCCCCTGCGGGACCGTGCCACCGCTGCCAGGGTCTGCAGAGCCTGGGCTGCTGCTGCTACCTGCAGTGTCGTGTGGCATGACACGACCATCAGGTGAGCAGACTCCTCCCTCTCCTGCCGCCCTCTTGCCTTCTCCCTTTCTCCATGGAGTTGGGGGTTGGGGATAACCACATTTAAAAGCCTCATCATTACTAACATTTATCGACTGCCTACTATCAACCGGTGTTCGTGTTCTAAGTAACTTCTATATACTAATTTAATCCTCACGAAAACCTTATGCATTGGATAGGTAGTATTATCTCTATTGCACAGATAGGAAATTGAGGCAGAGGGATTTAATCATTTCCTACAGATCACTCAGCAAAATAGTAGTAGAGGCAGAATGGGAGCCTGACAGTCCAGCGGTCAGGCCCCATCTTCTTAGAGACCTCTGAGAAAGCTCAGTTCCTAAAATATCATTGGCTTTCCCTGCCAGGGTTTCAATTCGTGGCAGACACATCTTCTTCTAAAGGGTTAAGGTGGGCTCCCTGAGAGCCTCAAGCTTGAAGCCTGAGACAAGAAACCTGAAACCAAGTAGCTTCAGGGAAGGCATGTGGGTACTGGAAAGTGTTTAACCTCTAACTGAGCATCTCTGTAAATAAAATCTGTAGACCAACAACAAAAAAGGGGGGAGGAGTTAAGGTGGGAGTTCCCTCGTATCAGCGACTATTTTGGGGCAAGCTGGCATGGTCAGGACGAGGTGTATGTGTAGGGTGTCAGAAAGTGGGGATGGTAGCTGTACTCCAGGCTAAGGGATGGGCAGAGGCTTCTTGCAACCAATGCCTTTTTCCACCGTTCTAACTCCAAGTTGCGACTGTGAGCGAGAAGGCACGCTGCTACCATACCTGTCTGCCTGCCTGGACCACGTTCACAACCTACAGCTGGAATTTGAGCCGTCGAGGGAGCCGAGCCGCCGTGCGGCCACTGAGCTGCTGACCGCCCTGGCGGGCCGCAGCCCGGGACTTCAAAGCCTGCGCCTGGAGTGTCGTGGGGAAAAGCCGCTCTTCGACGCGGGCCACGACATCCTGGACGCGGTGCACGCCATCTGCCGGGCCGCCAGTGCGCTGCGCCACCTGGACCTTCGGCGCTTGCCTTTCACCCTGGACGACGCGCTGGTGCTGCAGGCGGCACGCGGCTGCCCCGAGCTCCGCAGCCTTTTTCTGGACAACCGTACGCTGGTGGGCAGCGTGAGGCCCGACTCCGTGCTCGAGCTACTACAGGCCTGCCCGCGCCTGCGCGCCCTCGGCCTGCACCTCGCCAGCCTGTCGGGCTCTGCCCTGCAGCTGCTGGCGGCGCGGGACCGCGAGCCTTTCGCTCTCCTGGCCCTACGGTGCGCGTGCCCGGAGGACGCACGCGCGCCACCCTTGCCCGAGGAAGCCTGGGTTGCGGTGCGCCGCCGCCACCCGGGACTGGCGGTGGAGCTGGAGCTAGAGCCGGCCCTGCCTGCCGAGAGCGTGACGCGCGTCCTGCAGCCCGCCGTTCCCGTGGCTGCGCTGCGCCTCAGCCTTTCTGGGGATACGGTAGGCCCGGTGTGCTTCGCAGCGCGCCACTACGCCACGAGCTTGCGCGCGCTCGAGGTGCGCGCCGCTGCCTCGGCGGAGCTGGACGCCGCGCTGGAGCGGCTGGCGGCGCGGTGCGCGGGCCTGCGCGAGATACACTGCTTCTGCGTCGTCCGACCCTCGGTGCTGCGAGCCTTCCGCGAGCACTGTCCGCGCCTGCGCAGCTACACGCTCAAACTGACGCGGGAGCCGCATCCCTGGATGCCCACGACTGTGGCATGAGCGTAGCCGCGTCCCCAGCAGACGTGTGGCCACCGGAACGCTGGATGCATTTGCCCAGGCGTGCGCCAAGTGACGGCCCGCTCCTTCAGGGCTCTTGCCTCTTGTGCCTCTGGAAGATCAGGGCAGGTGGGCTAGCGCCGGGACCAGCCCCGGGCGGCCTGAGTCCACAGGGTGGATCTCCCTAATGGGATCATCTCCCGCCAGCCCCGCTCCTCTGCGGACACTGCCAGCTCCGCGGCCCTGTCCTGGGGGGGGGGGGCGGGGGGAGGACCCTGGCTCGGGCGGCGCCTCAGGTGTGAGTGTGAAATAAACAAGTCCCGCAGCAACGGTGTCCTCTGGAAGGTGGGGCCCGCTCTGAGGGGGAGGGCGGGAACCCTCAGGCCCCAGGGCCGACCCGGCGGCAGTGGGGCCGATCAACTGTGCCCAAGCGGCTGCGGAGGTCAGGGCGGGGCCTCCGCACCCGGGAATGGCCACGCCCCAGGGTTCGGCGGACGGTGCCAGCTTCTCTCCGCACCCGCTCCCCACGTCCCCTAGCTCGCTCCGCTCTGCCCTCGCTATCCAGGCAATGGCCATCGCCTTCCAGGGCTTTTCCAGCCCACGACGGGCCGCGAACGGGTGATTTCTCCCGAAGAACAGGGGAGGAAAAGGCCCGAGAAGGGTCGACCTCGCGCCCAGGTCTCCCTGCCCGCCGCATCCCTCCACGCACAGTGGATCCCAGCCTCCGCCTCGGGTCGGCGGGCGCGGCGGCCGCGGCCGGAGCCCCGCCCCGCGGGCTCGCACGTGGCCCCCTCCTGACCCGGCGCCGGGAGGCGGAGTAGGGCGGGGCGGGCGGCAAGCGCAGCACTTTCCGCGGCTTTGACGAGCCCGCGGCGCCCGGCCCGAGCGCTTGCTTAGCCGGGCGAGACTGCGCCATGCAGGAAGCGCCAGCCGCGCTGCCCACGGAGCCGGGCCCCAGCCCCGTGCCTGCCTTCCTCGGCAAGCTGTGGGCGCTGGTGGGCGACCCGGGGACCGACCACCTCATCCGCTGGAGCCCGGTGAGGGCTGGGGCCCCTCGACCTCCCCAGTGGTCCCCGGGACCCTTCCACGTCAGTGAACATCCACGCCCCCCGCCCCCCGCCTGGGACGCGGCTGTGGGTCCCTCGACCCGGCGGTCCCGTGTAGTTTACCTTGGAGGGGGTGTGCGAGACGGAGGTGAGGCGACTTCCTCGGGACCGGGACCGAGGAAAGGGTAGGAATCTTCGAGGTCCTTTAGTTGCCACCCCACCCGATAGACAGGTCGGAAACGGCGACCTGGAGAAGGGAAGGGCCGGGGCGGGGCTAGCTCGGTGACGCCGTGGGTCCGGGACCCGCAGAGCTGGAACCCGAGCTGGCGCCGCTGCTCTCTTTCCGAGAACCCAGTCTGGAGGCTGGGTCCGGCCAGGGTAGGGAGTCCCTGCGGTCGCCCCGGGCCGGGCCCTGCCCCACGTCTCCACGAGCCGCAGGCCGGGTCCCCAGCGGGAGTGCGAGTGTGCGCGCGCGCGCAGAGGCCGGCGGACCGTGGGCGGCGCGGCTCACCGAGGCCGGGTCTCCGCCCGCGCGGCGGGGGGGCGGGCGGCGTTCTTGGCAGAGCGGGACCAGTTTCCTCGTCAGCGACCAGAGCCGCTTCGCCAAGGAAGTGCTGCCCCAGTACTTCAAGCACAGCAACATGGCGAGCTTCGTGCGGCAGCTCAACATGTGTGAGTGCCCAGCGCCGGGCGCGGGAGTGGGTGCGGGGCACGTGGCGCGCGCGAGGCACGGTTCAGCCCCACGCCCCACTCCGCAGACGGTTTTCGGAAGGTGGTGAGCATCGAGCAGGGCGGCCTGCTCAGGCCGGAGCGCGACCACGTCGAGTTCCAGCACCCGAGCTTCGTCCGCGGCCGAGAGCAACTTCTGGAGCGCGTGCGGCGCAAGGTGGGGCGGCCTTCAGGAGCCGGCAGCCCCGCGTGGAGGCCTTGAGGCGGCTGCAGGTTCCCGAAGACTCGGCACTGACGGTGCCTTCGCCTGCAGGTGCCCGCGCTGCGCAGCGACGACGGCCGCTGGCGCCCCGAGGACCTGGGCCGGCTGCTGGGCGAGGTGCAGGCTTTGCGGGGAGTGCAGGAGATCACCGAGGCGCGGCTGCGGGAGCTCAGGCAGTGCGGGGGCGGGGGCGGGAGGGGGCGGGGAGGGAGAAGGGGCGTCGCGGCGAGCGGAGGAGCCGGCGGCGGGCAGGTGTTCCGGACAGCTCCTTCCTCCCTCCGGTCTCGGTGCCTCCACCCAGACAAACGGGCTGAGCCGTGGCTCTCTGTTCTGTATGGATGGCGCACACCTGGCCGTCTTGGGTTTAGACCTGCCATTCTGGGGGCCGGGGGGGGGGTGACTGGTGACTAGGCGGACTCTCGGATGCCTCAGCACCCTCCCACGCCTTTCCCGCAGGCAGAACGAGATCTTATGGAGGGAGGTGGTGACTCTGCGGCAGAGCCACGGTCAGCAGCATCGCGTCATTGGCAAGGTGTTCCTCTCCCCCTACCCTGCTTCTCTCTCCCGCCCCAACACACCCACCTTCTCCCGACTTCTTTGCTCAAAGGGGCAAATCCACCTGCAACTGCCTGTTGGGTGGGGTCAAGGTCCCAAATATGAATTAACCCTTTGCTTCCTCTTTAGCTGATCCAGTGCCTCTTTGGGCCACTTCAGACAGGGTCCAGCGGCGCAGGAGCTAAGAGAAAGCTGTGAGTGAGAAAGTCAGGGATGTCCACGCCACACCCCCACGCGCGCACACTTCCAGGAGCCTCCTTGCCAGAGGCCCCATGCAGGGACTTCTCCAGAAGCCCTCTCACCAGGAATCCTCATTCTTCTTCCCTGCACTACAGTTTTCCTCAGCCCATGGCAATCTCCCCAAGGGCCCCCCCTCCAGGACTTTCCCTCTCTCCCCCTAAGTCTACCACCAAGTACTCTCCCTTCCCATATCCTTGTGTTCCAGGACCTTAGCCCCCAATTTTTCCCCCAGCAGCCCCCTCACCCTCTCCCCAAAGCATCCCAACACCCGAGGGTCAGGGGCTCATACCATGCTCCCTCCCTCCTCTCTCCACCCCCAAAGGGCCCCCATTTCTGGGGGGAGCCCCTTCTGCCTCCAGCATGTGACTGATGCCCTGGCAACAGGCCTCAGCTCTGCTGACTTGGCTGCTGGGGCCTAAGGGAGGGAGGTGCAGGCTGAGAGGCATGGGGGATGAACCTGCCCTGCCCCCTGCACAGGTCTCTGATGCTGGATGAGGGGAACTCATGCCCAACACCGGCCAAATTCAACGCCTGTCCTTTACCTGGTGCCCTCTTGCAGGATCCCTACTTTATCCAGTCGGTAGGTTTGTGCTACTCCTCCCTTCCCTAGGGCACAGTTGGGCTTATGGAGAGCCTGTTCCCTTCCCCCATGTCCCTAACAGGAAGAGAACGTGGAGGCCAGCCTTTCTTCCTCCAGACCCTGGCTCCCCAGCATGGACTGAGCCTCCCTCCTCAAACCTAACTCCTTAAGTCCATGTGGGTACTGGTTGGGTTATGGCTCGCCCTGTGGCTTGAGGTAAGGGACTGGGCCTTGTCATCTACTTACAGCCCCTCCCAGAGACCACCTTGGGCCTCAGCAGCTCTCATAGGGCCAGGGGCCCTATCATCTCTGACATCCATGAAGACTCTCCCTCCCCTGATGGGACCAGGCTTTCTCCTTCCAGTGGTGGCAGGAGGTAAGACCAATGGGGCTGCCCTCTGGGGAGCTTGTGGGGAAGGGCCTGGCAGCCTAGATGGCTGTGGGGGTAGAGGGGGAGGTCAGTGCCAGGGTCTGGTTGAAGCTTTTCTCCGGTGCAGGGAGAAGGGCCTGGCACTGCTCAAAGAAGAGCCGGCCAGCCCAGGGGGGGAAGGCGAGGCCGGGCTGGCCCTGGCCCCAAACGAGTGTGACTTCTGCGTGACAGCCCCCCCCCCACTGCCCGTGGCTGTGGTGCAGGCCATCCTGGAAGGGAAGGGGAACTTCAGCCCCGAGGGGCCCAGGAATGCCCAACAGCCTGAACCAAGGGGTCCCAGGGAGGTACCTGACAGGTGAGCCAAGAGTTCATGATGTGAGCCCTGTGGGCCACTTTTGCAGATAGACCACCACTAAGTAGCTTCCCAGCCTTCTGTCCATTGTGGCTGAGGGGGAGGTGGGGATGATGATCTGACCTGACTTCTCAGAGTCCCCTGGAAAGTAGAAACTCCCATCAGGTCAATCAGTATATCTATGGTAGAGCTCAGGAATCTATTGTAGGAGTTCATTTCAGTATTGGAAACATTGTAAAGTAGATAAGAGTTTAAGAACCACCGGTGTTGACAATTCTAAAGCAAGGGGACGTATCCGGAGAGCAGGGATATCCATGACTCAAACCTCACATCGAAGCTAGGAAGCAGAAGCACTCTAAGTACACTCTATGTGGGGAGCCCTCTCCTACTATTTTGTAGATGTCAGATTTTGATGCTGATGTATCCAGCTTCCTTGGGAACCTAATAGGGGGTGAACACTGAAGGCCAACAGCAGTTCTCTATGTACAGGGGGACTCTGGGCCTGGACAGGGGGGCGCGAAGCCCAGAGAATCTGCTGCCTCCCATGCTGCTTCGGGCCCCCCCTGAAAGTGTGGAGCCTGCAGGGCCCCTGGATGTGAGTACACCTTTAGCAGGGCAGGGGCATGGGGCTTTGTGAGGTCCATTTAGCCTGGGGAGGGCACCACTGATTAAGAACTTCCCCCAGGTGCTGGGCCCCAGCCATCAAGGGCGAGAATGGACCCTGATGGACTTGGACATGGAGCTGTCCCTGGTAAGACGAAGGTGGGGAGGGCAGGGGGTTCAAGTAGCTGAACCAAGCCCTCAGCCAGAGCCCCAGCCCCACTCCTCAGTGCTCCTCCCCTGCTGCTTCAAGGGGTTCTTCTCTGCAGATGCAGCCCTTGGGTCCAGAGAGGAGTGAGACTGAGCTGGTGGTCAAGGGGTTAAATTCTCCGGGGCCAGGTAATAGTTGTGGTAACCACCTGGGGGAGGCCCTAACTGGTGGGAGCTACCTGGCTCTGGTGAGCTGGGCAGTTTGTGTTTTGGAGGGGAACCCCCAAGTTCAGGGGGCCTTTCAGAGAGCTGTTTATGCCACCCATCCTCTCCCCACTGGGTGACAGTGGGGAGGTTGAGGATGGATGTTCATCTTGACTGACCAGAGGGCAGGGCAGGTGAGGCTTTCCTTTCCTGAAGAAAGAAGGCAGAGCTATTTCTCCCTGCTGAGCACAGCCCAATCCTCCTAGGGAAGGACTCCACACTTGGGGCACCACTCCTGCTCGATGTCCAAGCGGCTTTGGGAGGCCCAGCTCTCAGCCTTCCTGGAGCTTTAACCATTTACAGCACCCCTGAGAGCCGAGCCAACTACCTAGGCCCAGGGGCCAATCCCTCCCCCTGAGACCCGCACTGCTGTGAAGCCAGCCTAGCTGAGGGGCTGGCCTGCAGCAGCACGACCTTCTTAGCTTCCTGGTGCCCCTTGGAAGAGGCTGAAAAAAGACCCTGCTACTTTGCAGTCTTTCTCCATTACTGAGTCCTGCATATAAACAGCATTTTTTTTTCTGTGTTTCTGGTCTCTTTTCTCTACCGACCAGGGAGCACAGAAGTCAGGGGTGGGGGGTGACTCTGCATTCATAGACATTTCCAGATCCTAAGGCTTTAATAGCAGAATATCTGGAGAGTGGAAGTGCTTGGGGAACCAGCCCCTAGTTCTGCTTAGGCTCCCCTCCTCTGGCTGGATCCAGGGCTGGCACGTGGCCACAGCAACCTCCGGAACTCAGGGGCTTTTGGGGTCACATCCAGCTCCACAATGCAACTGCTCTGTGATCCTGGGTAAGCTGGACCCCTTCTCTGAGCTTTATCTGGGATAAGCCAGAGGGTTCTAGAAGATGGCTGTAAAGCTCCTGGGAATTGCCAGGCCCAGTGGGCGCTGGATGCTTGGGGGGGGGAGGGCAAGCCGAACTTCCCCCTCCCTGGCTCATCCCGTGCACCCCAGGTGGAGGGGGAAAGCCGACTCTGCGTGGAAGCCCGGGCGGCGCGCGGCCCCTGCGTCCTGCCTCCCGGTGTCCCAAGAAGAACGCCCCCTCCCCCGCCCCCCCTTCCCGGCAGCCCTGGCCGCCCCGCCCCCGCCGCAGCTGCTGCTCTCCTCCCCACCCTGCCCGGCCCTTTCTGCCTCGTCATCTACTGCCCCGCGGAGGCTCGACCCGTGAGTGGGGCCGCCCGGAGCGCGTAGACCCGGGAGCCCCACCCCACCCGGCTGGGGGAGGGAAGAGAAACTGAGACTGGGCAGATTCCGCGCCCCGCCACCCCCCGCCGAGCTCCAAGGAGGTCTGTGAGCACCGCCCCTCCGCCGGATTCCGACCCTGGGACTGGGTGGAGGGGAGGTGAGCGCAGCCCTGTGGCTGCAGTTAGGGTAAGGCTCCGGCCTTTCCCACAACCCTAGCTCCCTAGCAGGAGCCGGCGCCCAGCGGTGGGAGGGAGGCCGAGACCCCCCTCGAGGCCTCGCACGCCGAGCCACCTGGAGCCCCGGGAAGGATTTGGCCTGGGACCTAACTTCGCTGTTCACTTCGGGGCATTGAATTGCAGAGGGAGGACCCCGAGAGCTGGGGTCTCCGCACCCCAGACGGGACAAAGTGCAGGACTTGGCATACTGCAGGGAGGAAGCTAACATGAAAATAAATTGGGGAGCAGCGAGGGAGAAGGAGGGGCCAATCCAGTCCGCACCCCCCCCCCCGCACTTGTACAGAGTAGGTCTTGCTCTGGCAACTGGGGAGAGAGTCTTTGGAGGTCTCCGCTGAAGAGGGCAGAGGGTCCATGTACATAGTGCGTGACGTCAGCGTGGTGGTGAAGGATTATGCTGTTCACTGGGGCACGCAAGAGAAGGAACCAGTCTGCCTTTGGGACACTAGGGTGGACGAGGGGACATTTTAGTCTTAGAGGGTGGGTCCATAGCATGGAGGGAGAGGAAGGGTATTCCAGGCTTAGGGAACCGCATCTGCAAATGTTCAGATGTGCCAGGGACTTGCAGGGTTCTGGCAGCACTGTGTGGTATAGGGAAGTGCGGGAAAGCCTGGCTGCCGAGAGGGGTGGAAGGTGGCTTGAGGAGCCAGACCAGATCATCTCGGTTCTCTCTGATGGACGGTGGGGGCCGGCAGGGGGTGGAGGAAAGGGACCGGTAGGGCTGATAAGCTGCTTGGCAGGAGATCTCATTGTAGTTCAAGCTAGAGCAAGTCAGATTCCAATTCTGTCACTTGGTCTCTCTGAACCTGTCTCCTCATCTGTAAAATGGGGACAATAAATCCTGTCCCAGAGACTTGTCAAAGTCACTATGCTGCGAGGGTGATGGGATGGCAGTGAGAGGTACTTGGAGAGACTGTCATAGGAGATGGGTGATGATAGTGGGGTTGAGGGAGGATGCTGATGGAGACCCACTGAGAAGTAGAGGAGCAGCATTTGTCAGAGATGTGACATGAAGGGAGAAGGAGGGAAAGTGGGTAGTCCGGCCTCTGCTCAGTGGCCTGGGGGGAAGGCTGACACTTCAGTATGGCCAGGAGGGATGAAATGGCCAGGGAGGCATAGCATGACACCAAGTGGTTGTGAGAGAGACCTGGAAGGCAAGCAAGATGGGGGCCAGGACCAAAGCTGCTCTCCCAGACCTAGAGCCAGGTAGAGAAGTAGAGGAGTGACCCCAAAAGGAGGATGAGACCCAGGAGGGTTCTGTGTGTATAAAGCCAAGGCTAGGGGAGATGGGCTGGGAGAGACTGGTCTAGGGCCTGACCTCTTTGCCCCTTAATGCCAGGGGCCTTGCTGCCTGGGTCAGGCCACCCCAGAAGTGATGGACCATTGTCCTTAGTTGTTAATAAATGGATAAAGCAAATTAATTTCTGCCTAACACCTGCTGCTTGCTAGAGACAATCTCGCAAAATGGGAAGATCTGTGAAAGAAAACAGTAGAGGTTCAGCAAGCATTTGTTGGCAGCTTTTACGACTTGGGTCCATGGTATTTAAAAATGAAGCAAGAGGGGCGCCTGGGTGGTTCAGTCGACTAAGCATCTGCCTTTGGCTCCGGTCATGATCCCAGGGTCTTGGGATGGAGCCCCAGGTCGGGTTCTCTACTCGGCAGGGAGTCTGTTTCTCCCGTTCCCTAACCCTCTCCCTCTGCCACTCCTCCCGTTTGTACTCTCTCCTTTGTCAAATACATAAATAAAATCTTTCTTTAAATAAAAAATAAATAAAGATGAAGCAAGAAACGATTCCAGGGCATCAGGGAGACAGTTGGATCTCAGCTAATGTCGGGAGATCTTGGTCAGAGACCAGATTGGGGTTGCAACACAGTGGTGGCATTGTGAGAGGCTGCAGGGGCAGAGCCTACCCGGGAAGGATGGGCCTGGGGTCAGAATAAGGAGCCTGGGCCTCCTCTAGTCCGTGAGGGGAGGCTCTCAGCACTCGTTCTCTGGGTGCAGAGGGGACTCAGCATCCCGCAGGGTCTAGGCTGCGCAGGAAAAGCCAGACTAAGAGATGAGGATGACAGAGAACTGTTCAGCGGATAGACTGGAAGGACCTGTCTGCAGCTGGGTGCCGGGTGTCTATCAGGATCAATCGCAGGTCTTGCTGCCTGGAAGCAGGCTGGGAAAAAGCAGTTTGGATGAACTGGCTCCGAATAGAATGCCTGATCCGCAGGCCGTGGGGGCTCAGGAGCGCTGTGCTAACTGGGGAAAGGGGTAGAGAGTAGACGAGGACCTGGGGATAGCACAGAGGACAGAGCCACGGCTGACGTTTAGGGACCCAAGGAGGAGCCTGAGGAGGCGACAGAAGCGGCCTGAGAGGCAGGACAAGTCCTGTGCTGAGGAGCTGTTCCGCTGCCTGCGTCGAGGTGAGCGTCGGTGCCAGCCACGAGTGTTCATTGAGACCCTGGGAGAGAAGTCAAGGGCGGGGGGGGGGGGGTCGGCCCCACTATCTCTGTCCCCCTCCCCCATGCAGCCCCCGCCATGGGCAACGCCCAGGAGCGGCCCTCAGAGACCATCGACCGCGAGCGGAAACGCCTGGTGGAGACGCTGCAGGCCGACTCGGGGCTGCTGCTGGACGCGCTGCTGGCGCGGGGCGTGCTCGCCGGGCCCGAGTACGAGGCGTTGGACGCGCTGCCCGACGCCGAGCGCAGGGTGCGCCGCCTGCTGCTGCTGGTGCAGAGCAAGGGCGAGGCCGCCTGCCAGGAGCTGCTGCTCTGCGCCCAGCGGACCGCGCGGGCGCCCGACCCCGCCTGGGACTGGCAGCACGTGGGCACCGGTGAGCCTGGGGGGCGGGGCCTCAGCCCGGGGCGGGGCGCGCGGGGCGGGCGGGGCGGCGTGCGGAACCGAGGGGTCTCCCGACTTGGGTCTGTGTCAGGGATACTGCAGAGGCGGAAAGTGAGCCTCGGATACCCCCGCCTCCGCCCCAGGCTACCGGGAACGCAGCTGGGACGCTGCGTGCCCTGGCCACTGGACGCCTGAGGCCCCTGGCTCGAGCACCACTTGCCCGGAGCTGCCCCGAGCTGCGGACTGCGGCGAGCCGGGGGCTCCTGGGGGCTCCGAGGCAGCGCAATCAGGATCCCTCGAGGAACCCGATCCCGAGCTGGAAGCTGGGGCTGAGCTGGAGTCGGAACCCCAAATGGATTTGGAACCAGAACCGGAGGCAGAACCGGAACCTGAACTGGAGCGGGAACCCGAACCGGAGCCGGAGCCTGACCTCGAGGCGGGTGATGAGTCTGAAGGTGTGAGGCTACCCAAACCCGTGGGGGATTGCCGGCAGGGTGGGCCCCACTTGACTAACCACTTTTTCCCCTATCATCTTTAGATTCCTGAATGCTGGAGCGCTCTCAGGCCGCTCCCTGCTCAAGCCAGATAGGAGCTGGGATTCTGCACTGGCTGGGATCCTTGCCAAGCCCCCGTCTGACTCAGTACCCCAGGAAGTGAATAAACTCCGGAGGTTGTCTGGGCTCTGTGACTCCGGCTTTTTGCCCAGGAACTAGGCTGTGGGTCCATGCCCCTGAGTCTCAGCAACCTCAACAGCCCTGTGCCCCAATGTCCAGTCTTTAGGCCCATTTTGTCCTCAGTATCCCAAGCTGCACCCCCGGAACCCTCAGTCCCAGCGCCCCAGTGGGACAAACACCAGACCCTGGGGCACTGCCCCACAGTCCTTTTCCTCTCATGAACCAACTGGAGGTGTCTATGGGGGGCGGTGTAGTCACCTGCCCCACTTCATGGAAGCCCTTGGGCCTGGGATAGAGAGCCAGGGAAGGGAGGCTTCCCTCCACTTAGGGCAGGCTGGAGCTCACAGTCTTGGGAAGTAATATCAGGAAAGAGGAAGAGGAAGGGATCTTGGGTAGACAGAGGCCACACACTTCATTGTAATTGTTTTAATTGTCTGGCTTCTCTCTAGACTGGGAACTCAGTGAGGGTTCTGACCAGTAACTGGCACATAGAAGGTGCTCTACACAAAATCACTGACTAAATGAAAAAGGACTTTCCAGTTGCCTTTCTAAGTTTTACAGATGGGAAAATCAAGGGCAAGGGTGAGTGGGAATGGGTCAACACCACACAGCTGAGTCTGACATGAAATGAAGCAACAGCCACCTCTACACCCTCCTGACCCAGGAGGGGCGCAGTACTTGACACACCAGCAAGGGGCCTGCCCCTCAGTTTGGAGTGTGGCTGCTGCCAGCCTATACCACCCTCTGCCAGAGACCAGCTGTGAGGGTGCAGGCAAAGACAGCAACAGCACAGGTCAGTGGACGGGCTGGAGGCAAGGCCAGGTGAGCTCTTAGGCTTGACTCACAAAGCCTAAAGGATTGTGTGTGTGTGTGTGTGTGTGTGTGTGTGTGTGTGTGTGTGTGTGAAAGAGAGAGAGAGAGGGAGAGTGAGAGAGATGAGAGTGAGGTTAGGAACAGGTGGTGCCTTCCAGAGGAGCTCTGTTCCCTCCACCACACCTTCAGAAGCTGCTGCCTCCCAGTCCCAGGAAGCAGAGCACATAGGTAGGGAATAAATACATGACCAGTGGGAGAGGCAAAATGCTAGAAAGCACCCCCAGCCCAGCTGGGTCTCTACCACCAGGACCCCTGCCCCTTGAGTCTGTGTGAAAGCCAGGCCCTCAGGCTCAGGCAGTCACCCCAGGAGAAAGGAGATCCCCACCAGGACCCAGTGAGAGGTAGACAGCGTGAAAGCTGAAGGAGCACCGAGGGGCCAGGTGGGGGAAGGGAGAGACTGGAGTATGCAGACACCCAAAGCCATCTCATGCAAGAACAAGTTTCTACTCCCAAACTACCCCCCATCCCCATCATGCTCGGCCTCCCTCCTGCCCAGGCTTCCCCTCTGCTCAACAGAGAGCTGGAGGTAGGAGGGCCAACTCAGTTTGCTTGGCATGCTACTACTGGTCCCTAGGCCCCAGGGAGGCTAGCAAAGGACACCAACCCTCTGATGCTGCCACTCCTACTTCCTGGGATGCTCCTGCCCTCCCATTCCCCAAGAAACACCCAGGCCATGGAAGCACAGAACAGTCAGCTTCATGTTCTGGGAGCTGTTCCAGAGCCCTCTGCCCAGGGCCTCTGCCTGGAGCCATCCACCAGCATCAGTCAGGCAGCAAGCGGCCCAGTTCTGCTTCATCCAGCCGGTTGGTGGCCATGATATGTTCCAGCTGCTGCCGGTAGCGCGCCAAATCCTGCATGAAGTGGGGCACCCGGGTATTGTCCAGCACCCCATGGGGCCGCAGATGGTCTACATCCTCATAGGACACCTGCAAGAAGGAAGCTGGGCCTCAGGGATAGCCAGAGGTAGCACTGGCTTTCAGGTAGCTGGTCACAGCTCCATACCATGTACAAATGGCTCATTGCCCTCTGCTCCTGTAAGGCCTCCCTTTCCCCTCTGGATCCACTCCCAATGTTATGTACCCTCAGGCCTAGTCCTGGGTGTTTGTTCTTTCCCTTTCAACATCTTCCTTTATCATCTGTGCCCTACAACTCTACTCCTGATTCCAACCCAGCCTCTCCCCTCATCTCCAAACCTAGGTATCCAACTACCTCCTGAACACCTTCCCTGGCATCTCCTTCAGGCACCTCAAACCCCACACCAAACGCTGAACTCCTGGGCTCCAGCTTATGCCAACCCCACCTTCCTTACAGGTTCCCTATATCAGTTTGAGGGAAGGGACCTGGGATATGTTACCCACCAAGTCAGGGTGGCTATTGAGTTAGAGGAATTCCACTCTCCGAAGAGCTTTCTGCAGCTTGCTCCTCCCTCTGCATGGCCACTGCCCAGTTAGACCAGACCAACATCAACTCTGCAGGAGTGACTGCAAAGACAGCTTCCTCCTCCGCCTGTGCTCCCCTTCCCTAGGCCTCTCTGTCTAATCCACCTTCCATCTAACATCCACAGGGAGCCTTCTAAAGCAAAAGTGACATTTCTCTGCCTAAAGCTCTACTGATACCCTGTTGCTTCAGGTGCAGTCTACCTTCCTCAGCCTGGTACAAATACCCAGAGCCAGACACTTGGTCCCTGGCCATTTCTCCGGCCTCCTTCCCAGGCTGTCTTGACTGCTCCTCGGGCGTGAATGCTCACCTCCTCTGAGATGCAGCTAGCTACACACACCTGCAGTCTAGGTCAAGTACCTACTTTTGGCTGCCAGGCTGCCACTTCTCTTTTGTTCACCTCCACCCAGGTCTCCTCACCAGAGAAGCCTGGCACCTTGTCCTCAGTCGAGCAGCCATCGAGAGGCTCAGGGAACACTGGTGTCACAAGGAGAGCTGGCTAGGATCTCTAGAGGGCACGGAGCCTCACCTTGCCCAGTGAGGTCAGCAACGGGAAGTCGATGGTCTGGCGGTGCCGCAAAATGCGCACGATGCCATCCAGGTACACCTGATCCTTGCTGAAGCAGCCTGTGGGCACCGGACGCCTGTGAGCCCCGAGGAACGAAGCCGCCCACCCTCACCCCGGGTCAGGGCACTCCCCCACCCCCACCCGCACCCAGTCCTCCCCTTCAGGGCATCCCCCAAGCGGGTGCCAGCGCCCACCGGGCAGCGAGGTGTCTGTCTGGCCGCGCTTGGCACGCACGCAGTACTCCCAGCGCACGTCTGCGTCCTGCACGTAGCGCGCCAGGTCCTGGAAGAGCTGGCGGAAGGACATGCGCGAGGCACGGTGGATGGTGTAGTACAGCAGCGCGGCGCGCCACAGAAAGGGCTGCTTGCGGAAGAGCACGCTGTGCAGGCTGGCCAAGCCCTCCTCGGTGGGGTTCGCGGGCCGCAGCCCGTACTGCAGGCGGCCTTCCGCGCTGTGCCACGGCTGCCGCGCGTTGTTCACGCCCCGCAGGTAGTGAGTGCCTGCAGGGAAGGCGAGGGTAAGGAGAAACTGGGTAGGGCACAGGGGGACCGACCTGCCGGGCCCTGTCCTGCTACATCCTGCAGGACTTCTAGCCGGTGACTCCCACGCACTCCAGCCCCTAAACTCAGGCTCTCAGCAAGTTCTCCCCGCCCCCGCCCCCAATGCGTACTCACCCAACCCCAGGCGGCGGGAAGACCCTCCTCAGGTGAGCTCACACCCAAAGACTCAGAATCCCCCACACAAGAATCTTTCCGCATCCATTCAGGGCTACACACACAAGTCTCCCAAATTCACACTGACCCCCACGCCCCCAGGAGAGGTGTAGGAACTCACAAACCACCCCAGCCCCACATCCTGCATGCCCATATCATTTTGACAGTCATGCTGATGACCCCAGCGGAAAAACACCTTTTGCCCAGAGCCACAGGATTCTTGATGAGGAGAGACAGACAGAAAGGAATACTAATTAGTGTCCCATGCTCTCCTTTTCAGCTCAATCTATCCCTTCCTAAAACCTGGCTTTGTGTCCTCAACTAATTTTCTTCCTAGGATCTGGCCTTCCACCCACCCTCGAGGGCCTTCCACCCACCCTCGAGGGCCTCCCTGTTGGTGGGGCTAGTGGGACCCTCAGGGTACTCTGGCCTGTTGGAGCCTCAGTAGCCTTGTCCCCACTGTCAAGGGAAGTCAGAGAGGAAGTAGAGTGAGGAAAAAATACCCCAAAGGAGCAAGAGATGGGAGTGAGCCCAGAGACTGGGCGGGCATGTTCTGGCCTACCTCTGGGAGCCAGAGGGGGTAGGTAGCTGCTCATGAAGGGAAAGGGCCCATCCTCCGGAAGGAAGGGGAAGAAAGAAACAGGGTGGGGTTACTGGGGCCCCAAGCTGCCCCCCGCATCGTCCCAGTCTCCTCTCATCCTACCCACCCACCCACCTATCCACACCCTGACCTATCTCGTGCCGCAGCATGCCCTCCAACCAATACTGGCGGGCTCCAGTCAGGTTGATGGCCAGTGTTGGTCGGCTGTTCTCCACCATCATCACTGCCTGGGACAGCAGGTCTTCACTCAGCTGCACCACAACCTGCAGGTGGTAGTGAACCTAAACCACGGCAGCCAGCCCTGGGACCGGTATACAGGCGGACCCACTGATGCCTCAGGGCAGCCAGGCCACACCCTTGGCCAGGGAACCCACCCTTCACCACTTCTGCTCAGAGCCAGCTGCCACCTCATTGGGACAGAGATAGGGGCTTGCCTGGGGTCACGAGCTGGCCTGGTGTGGAGCTGGGCCTGGCAGCCCGGTTTGGGGCACATACAAGAGGGGCCTCAAAGACAGGGCTAGCTCACCTCCCCAACGCAGCCCTCTTTCTGCATGTATTTGCGCACAATGGACCAGATCTGGCACTTGGTCAGCAGCTGGCCCCCCGTTGCAGCCTCAAAGCGTTCATAGGTACCAAACTTCTCCAGGACCGCCTCAATGATGCCAACTGCCTGTAACAGGGTTGCAGTGGCTGGTCAGACCAGGCCTCTTGGGTGATCAGGACCAGGGTAAGGTGGGCAGGCCAGACTGACCTGATGGATGAACTGTCCAGAAGCCTCACAGTACTTCTCCAGCACAGCCGTGGGCATCGGTTCCTGGTACTCAAACTGTGGGTTGTAGGTGTAGTGGGACTGGAAGAACTTGTCCCGCTCACGGTCCATATTGGTTGGCCGTAAGGCCACCAACATGCAAGGGCTCTTGCTGACACCACGGCCTGCATCCTTTCGAGTCTTAGCAATGTGAGGCAGGGAGGCCGCAGACCGCAGGGTGCCCCCACCTGGGTCCCGTGCCCGTCCAGGTGGGGCCCGACCCTGGGTGCCACCTCCCCGCCGGCCAGTATTATTTACAGTATAGGTGCTCTCACAGCGACGCATGTGGCCACGGTGGCCCAAGTGCAGCTCTGAGAAGGGCTGCAGCTCAGGCCTGGGCGGCAGAGCTGAGGGGATTGACAGAGCCAGGGGCAAGGCCAGGGACCGAGGCCAGGGGTACAGCAGTGTCCCATCTCGGTCTGAGGGCTTCAGCCGATGGCCCAAGGATGAGGGACTAGCTGGCGGGCTGGGGGGTGCCTGTTCATACACCTGAGCCCCTGAGTCCAGCACCATTCTGTCCTGGGGGTCACATCCAGCCGGGTCACTCCAACTCCCCACACTGTCGACTTCTGGGGACACAGAAGGGCATGTGGAGACCATTATGAGCCGGTGTGGCCTGAGCACCAGCAGGCCTTGTGCTCCACAATGCCCTGGCCAGGTGTTCAGTGGGCTCGGGGCCTGCCACCAGGGGTCTGGGTAGCTGCCCCTCACCCCCTTCCCGGTGTCCATTCCCTCCAGGCAAGCTCATCCAAGGAAGCTGGACTGGGGGAAAGCAGGAACTATGCACTCACCTAGATGGTGGTTCTGGAATCTCCTTAGCCTATGAGCTGCCGAGAGCCAGGCCCGAGCCCCAACTCATGCTCAGCACCCACCTAGACTGCGACCTGGTGGCGTAGCCCCAGCTGCCGGGAGGACGGCTGAGGGGGCCTCACTACCTTCAACCCGCCTTCTGCCTATGGCATTTTCTCAGTCTCACCCCTCACATCCCATCTAGCTCCACCACCTCCTCCACCCCAGTTGGCCTCAGTCAGGTCGGGGGCCTGCATGTCCCTTGATTATGTTACTTCTTCCACCTGGAATGCGTCCTCTGTCCTCTGGGTCATCTGTTCAAATCCAAATTAGGATCAGCTTTTGGGGAGCAGAGGGAGACTTCAGCAAATTCAAGCCAATTCCTGGTCTGTCTCCTATCAGAGGCCTCTTTCTAGTGGTCATCCCAGGCCAGCGTTGGCATGTTCACCCCTTGCTCTGTACTAGGGCTCAGAACAATCCAGTCTCTCCCCAGAGACTGTCTGAAGGCTCCAGACTTTGAACTCCTCTGCCTGCTCAGGGCCACAATTCCAGCATTTCTCCAACGCCATCAATCTCTTCCTCTCTACTGGATTCTTTCCATCAGCATAAATACATGCTGTTATTTCTGTCCTAAAAAAAACAAAACCAAACCCCCACTTGACCCCAAACTCCTCTAGCCCCACATCTCCCGCCAGCTGCTCATTATTGCAGCACAACACCCATCACCCATCTGTACACAGTCTCAACCCTTCTTTCCTCTTCTCTCTTACGTTTCACTCCAATTAGGTTTTTATCCCCACTCTCCATTAAAATTGAGCTGAATCTGACCAAGGTCATCAATGCTCTTCATATTGAACAGTGCACAAGACATAATTAATCATCTCATCTTGGAAACATGTTCCCCACTTGGCTTCCCAAATACACTCAAACATATTCTCCTGCCTCACTGGCCGTTACCTCTTGGCCTTTTTTGCTCATCATTCCTATCTTCCTGACCTCTTAACACTGTAATGGCTCAGGACTTGGAAACTTCTATGGACACTGCTCCCCTCTTCTCCATTTATACTTACTCCCAGAGTGATTTCATCTGCTTTCATGTTTCAAATACATCAGCCCAGACTTCTATAAACTTCAGACTGGTGTTGCCAGTTCTCAATTCAACATCTTTACCTAAAAGTACAATAAGCATCTAAAACCGAACATGTCCCCTATCTGGAATGCTTCTCCCCATATAACCACAGGACTCACCTCTCCCACTTTCCTCAGATTTCTGCACAAATATGCTATTAGACAAGTCTCCTTGAATCACTCTCTATAAAATGGTGACCCTCCTCTTTCCTCTCCACCACAATCTTCCCTTCCCCACATTATTGGTTTCTGAAGCAGTTATCACCATATGAAGCACAGTATAGTATAGTTATCTGCTTTCTCCTTTCGAATGTTCAACAGCTGTGTCCCCAGAACCCAGAACAGTACCTTGACCCAGAGCAGTTGCTCAATAAATGAACCCAAGAGTACTTCTTCTCAGAACTGGAAACATTCCTTGTCCACACTATGTCTCCCTATCTAGATCTGGTCCCCTGCCCCCACCTCCCTTCCCTCTGCCTGGTGACCAGCTCTTTGAAAAGATTTCAGGCCTCAGACTTTACTCTTCTCAACCAACTGCACACTTTTCTGGACTCCTCACTGGTCTCTGGGCACAATCTCTGGATCAATCGCCTTCATCTCCACTCCCCCCTTTCATTCGACCTACGTCTTCGCAATTACCAAGAATACAACTGTTTCTTCACTTCTTTTGCCAAGATTGCCCTCGCAATGTCTCTGTAGCAAATTCCTAAACATTCCTCAGGGCCCGGCTTGGGTCTCACCTCCTCCGGGAGGCCTTCCTGGCGTCTTGGAGGCTCCCAGTGTCTGGGCGGCTCCTTTACCACCCTAAGCTGTCACTGTCGGAGCCCAGATCCGTGTTCCCTCACCACCCCCTTAACTCCCTAAGGGCAGGGACAGGTCTGACTGACCCCCATGGCCCAAGCACCCAACACTACATGAGGAATGAATGAAAGATGACTGGGGAGGAGCCCGGACACTAGGCGGAGTCTGGTGACAAATGAGAGGGTGTGGCCTGCGCCAATAAAAAACTCCCGGAGAAGGTAACGTGGAAGGGGAGCCAATGGGGACGGGGAGATAGAAGAGGGGCGTGACCTGCAGCCAATAAGAGGCGGAGGATGAGACAAAGGGCGTGGCCAATGGAGGGCGGAGCCGGAGGACAATGGAGGGGGGTCCTCGGCTAGAGGGGTAGGGATCGCGTCGCGCGCCTCCGCGGCCTCTCGGGGGTTGGGGGTTCCGCCCGCGTACCGCGCCCCCACCTGTTCTCTCCTCTTCTCGCCACCGCCGTCCCCTCTCCGCAGCCACCAGTCACCGGCCGCCCGGCCCGCGGGAGCCGACCGCTGGTGACGCACGCACTCGGGCGCGCGCACGCTTACGCGAAGGCGCGCGTAGTCACGTCAATCTCGGCGGCGGCGCGCGCCCGAGGAGGCAGGGGCGGGGCCGGGCGAGCAGAGGGGCGGTGTCCGCCACCGGGTCACGCCCCTGGGCGCGGCCGTGTCTTAAGCCCGCCCCCTCCACGCGGGCCGGAGCGTTCCCGTGCGCCGGGTGCCCGGGGGCCTCGGGGTCAGGGCCTCCACACAGTGCCCTGGCGCGGACAGGGGCGCTGTAGTCCGCCTTGGGGGCGGAAGCTCGGTACTTGGGAGCCGCGTCCACACCGGCCGACGCCAGGATACGGGAGGTGCCGCGCATACATCAGGACCGGAGCCAGGGTACCTTAGGCGTTTCGCTGAGCGTGGACCCCCTAGTCATCGCATTTTTATTTCATTCCCCCTTCCCAGGACACAATTCAGGCCCTGGGGGCCGTCCCTGTATTGGGGGGCAGCCCGGGGTCAGGCACAGGGCCCCGAGGGAAGGCAGGAGGACAGCGTAGGCGTAGGTGCTGGCACGAGGCTGAAGAGTGCGCGGCGACCCGCGGGGGGCGAGGGCTGTGGGCCGGCCTGCAGGGAGCTGAGTGCGGCCAGGCGCTGCTCTCGGGACACGTCCCCGCGCAGGTCCAAGAGGGCAGAGACGTGATCCTCGCTAGGGGGACGCCACAGGGGTGTGTGTCACCTCCGCCCCACTCCTCCCAAGCCCGCCCCCGCTCCATCCCCCCCCCCAACACCCGTCTTCACACCTCACGTCAGGAAATTTTTGTCGCAGGCCTGCCACCTCGAGGCCAAGTAGCATGGGGTCGCGGAGGTTCAGCAGATCCCGAAGAGCGAGGAGCACGGGCGCGCACTGAACACTCTCCTCCAGGCCCTGAGCACCGCGGAGTAGGTCTCGAGTCCCCCTTCGCCCCCCCCAACCACTGAGACTCCCGCCCAGCTGCTCCCCTAACGGACTCTCACCAAACCGAGGAAGAGCTCCCGAAGCTGGGCCGCGTCGTGCTGCAGGCGCTCGGCCGCCCGGGTCCTCTCGTCCGCGCCTCGGCACACCAGGCGGCCCTGCATCAGCGCACGCAGGTACTGCAGAACCACCGTACGTTCCGCCTCGGCCAGGAGCAGCTGCGGAGAGCGCAGTGGGTCCAGCATGCCTTTTCCGTGGGTGCTTCCCTCCTCCACAGTCTTCCCCTTCAACGCACCTGGACCGCAGGATTCCGCACGCGCCCGAAATCCTGGCAGAAGCGTGCCGTCCTCTTGCACACGTCGTCCAGCAGCTCTGGGCTCGAAAGCCACCGGCGCGAGGGCAGAGCCGTGAACAGGGGCTGCGGGATGGGGAGCAGAAACAGGGCTGGAGGAACAACCAGACCTAGCATTCCTCCTGCAGAGAAGCACACACGTGTATGCTGAATCTCTTCCTCCCACCCCCATCCCCACCTGAAGCCTTACCTGCAGCTCAGCCAGCAGCGCCTCCAACACCAGGCGGCAGATCCTTCTCTGCAACTCGTCCAGCGCTGCCTCCACCGGAGCCAAAGCTCCTGAAGCCACCCCGTCGGGCTGCAGGACTGACACTGAGGAGCTGGACAGACCAAAAGTTAAGGCTTCAGGACCAAGGCTAAGGCCCTCGCGGCCCTCTGCTGTGTAGCCGCTCTGACGCCACCTGGTGGTGCAAGTGTGTGGCGAGATGGGGCAAGAGGGGGCTCTCAACCCTTCTGAAGATCTGGGGCTTGGATTAAGGACGGGAGTGGTGGGCTCAGACAGCTAGCAAGAACCCAACCAGACCTGCTTCAAATTCAAAATGTGACTTCGAGCAAGTCATATCTTTTGTTCTCCGTTTGGGTAAAGAAAGAGTTTAATCTCAATCAGGAGGGAATCAAACTCATCATTAGCTTGTTTGTTCTCTCTGCCCTCACCACATAGAACATAAGACCAAAGAGGAAGGGAATTTTTTTTCTGTTGTTTACAACTGTAACCTCAGACATTACCAGGCACAGAGTAGGGCCTTGATAAGTATGTGCTGAATAAACGAATAATTGATACAATGTGTCGGGCAGGCACTGTGATAGGTACTTCACATTTGTTATATGATTCTCAGAATCTACCATTATTACCCACATAGTGCTGATGACAAAAACGAGATTCAGAGATTAGGTAACCCATCCAAGGTCACACAATCAGCAATTAGTAGAACTAAGATTGGACTGCCAGGACTATGTGACTCCAAAATTTCTTATTTTTTTTAAGATTTTATTTATTTATTTATTTTAAAGATTTTATTTATTTATTAATGAGAGACAGAGAGAGAGAGAGAGGCAGAGACACAGGCAGAGGGAGAAGCAGGCCCCAGGTAGGAAGCCCGATGGGGCACTCGATCCCAGGACTCCGGGATCACGCCCCGAGCCAAAGGTAGACGCTCAACCGCTGAGCCACCCAGGCATCCTTGAGTCCAAAATATCTGATGACCTTTGTGTGGACTGGGTCCATATCTAATTGGGGTTCAGTAAGGGGTTCTGGGAGGGTGGCTTCTGGTACCTGAGTGCTGACTGGTGGTTGAGGGTGGCCAGTAGGTAGGGCACATAATGAGGGGCCATTGCTTCCCCCCTCACGTGGTCTCGGGAGAATCGGATCAGAGCATCACTAAAACTGCAAAAAGCAGAGGTGGTTCCTGTACCTGTCATTCTGGCACCCCCACAATCTGAGACCAACCTCCAGCCCCACCTTCAAGAAACCCAAGACCCTGTTTTGAAGGAGCCCTTTCCCACTGGTGTGCCTTATTCACTCAGAACCCCTTTGGGCTTCCCCAGGAGCAGGACTAGGGGTCGGATGTGGGTCGACGCCTTGGCAGACCTCCTCAGGAATGTGCCCAGCTCTGATAATGCCATGGCATGCATCCGTTGCTGCAGTGACTCGCTGACCAGGCTGGTCACGCGAATGTTCTCTTCTAGGATCTACAGGCAGAAATGGGTGGCAATCAGCAGGGTCCTAGTCCTGTTCTCCCTTTCCCCTGTGGGAGCTTGCCACCTGCCTGGCCTCTTCCCACCCACCTGTAGCACTATGGCCGGCATAGGTGAGTGGTAGAAACCAGATGAGTCGGTGCCAGGTTCCTGCTCTCTGTTCCACTCAGCTACCTCCCCATCCAGTGCGTTCTGCAGCCACTGGGCCACATTTGCCTGGGGAAAGGGGCAGAAGGCAGCAGGATGTAGCAGGGCACTGATACTACTAGAGACAGGTAGATATACGACTCTAGATACAGGCCCACAGCTGGTGGCAGAGTTTCTCATACCCGGGGCCCAACTACTCACCTGGATTTGGGCCACAAATGTTGCCTCTAGCTGTTCAATGTTCTCCAGGGTCAGGAGGGGCTCCAGCTGAGACACGTCAGCCTCAGGCCCCAACTCGAGGCTCCCCATCATTTCGGGCCTGCAGATGGGTAGCCTGGTGTCACTCTGTGCCTCCAGCCTCTGATCCACCCACTTCCTGTTGCCCCAAGGGTACTGACCCCTGGTACACATGCAGTGCCCAATGCAGCAAGGTGAAGGCGTCAGAAGCGCCTAGCTCAGGCCCTTCCAGGAGCTGCTGCAGACAGCGGCGCAGTCCATGGTGCAGGGTATGCGTCCACAGCTGAACCACCTTGTAGTGTGGTGGGCAGCAGGGTGCTACTAGTGCTTCAGCTGTGGCCAACTCGGCTGGTAAAGCCACCCGCAGAGCCTCCAGCCACCCCTTCAGGGCCCCGGGCTCGAGCAGAAGAGGTGTCCCAAAGTGGGTTCTCTCCAGGCCCTCCTGTAATGCCTGCAGACAACGCTGCCGCCAGTCCCTGGGGGTCAGCTCCAGGGAGGGTGTGTACCCGGCATCGACTTCTGCTATGCGCACAGCAGCCACCAGCAGGGCTGGGTCCTCCCGTGCCAGCTGCCCTGCGGCCCCCGCAGCCACCTCCACGGCCCGGCCAAGAGCCTCAGCCAGAGGGCCCAGTGCCTCAAAGACTGGCAGCTCCAGGCCCCCCAGAGGTGCCCACGTCTCCTCTTGTAGCTGCTCCAGCTCCCGAAGGCACGCATATGCCTCCAAGAGCTGCTGGGCATCAATCAGGGTCCGTGTGTGGGCCACTGCTGCTGGCACTAGGAAGGGAGAAGATGAAACAGCCCTAAGTTTCAAACTTCCCACCTGTGCAATGGGCACAGCCATGGATACCGAGGCCCCTAGGGCTGGAGTGATGTGTAAAATGAGTAATAACCAGGACAGCAGAGCACTGACCAATCTGAAAGGATCCAGAGAAGGGCCTAGAGGCCTACTGGGCCAGATATAAATTCTTGAGTTGATGGAGCAAGAGGAAGTCAGGGATCCTGGAGGCAAGGCAGGGAAGAACTCGTGGACCCTTGCTAGTGGCTATTTACCCATCCTATTAAGGAATCATTTCAATAACTTTGCAACCAGGGCGGTCAGAGCCACTTGACTGGGTCTCAGCCTTGAGTCCTACAATGCATGCTTGACAATCCCAGCATGAGCTGATTTGTATCCAGATTCCTCTGCCATCAGAAACTTGAGTCACTCTCTGGGAGGTCCCTGGGGTGTCCCTCCCATCTAAGGGTGACAACCTTTGGTCAGTAATGGGCATGTACTGACTGACTGTTAAGGGGCTGAGGCCCAGGGCCCCTGCACACTCACCTGCCCACAGCCGGGGCAGCAGCTGAGACAGGACCTGCAGTTGCTTGTGCTGTGCAACCTGTTCCCGCAGCGGTTTTAGGGTCTGTGTGGCCTCTGCCAGACCTTGAAGCAACCCATGGGCCTGGCCAAGGGCCTCACGGGCTGCCTGCACGGCCTCAGAAGCCTGGGCCAGCTGCCACACACCAATCTTCACGCCTTCCAGGTAGGACTGCACCACCGACTACAGGAGGGAGGCAGCCTGTGAGGCCTGGCCAGGCGGGCAGCCCACCCCCAGCTCCCCTTTCCCCTGACCAATGCCCACCTTGATGCGCGCTTCCAAGGAGCAGGTACGCTGAACCTCACGGCTGCGGTACTGGCTCAGTCTGGCCAGCTGCTCCGGCCGGTAGAAGATGCCCGAGGCCCATTTGAGTGCTGCTCCTCGGGCCAGCTGCTCCGCCCTCTCCTGCTCTGGCCACTCAGGCCCTGGGCAGGAAGAGCCTGGGCAGCCTCGTCAGTTGGGCAAGGCCGATGGGAAGTGGCCTGAACCTGTTCCCCTTCCTACTTCCCAGCCTGTCCCCTAGGGCAGTCTGACCCATTCCTCTTGCTGCCCTATAGAGCACCGGCCAGACCCGGCAAGGAGGACCCAACCCCACCAATGCCATCTTTTTGGCCACCATCCCTCCCCTAGCCCACCCAGAAGGGCTCCTACCGGGAGGAATTGAGGGCTGCATTTCATCCTTGGTTGCTGAGTCCATGGCAGTCCTCGGAGGAGCTGGAGATGAGGTAGGAGTCGGGGCAAGAGCCTGGGTTAGAGTGGGCAGAATGGGTGCTCCTGTGAGCTGCAGCCTCGGTCTAGGCCCCTCTGAGAAGGAGGAGGGGGTTTCTTGTCCAGCCCCCTCGGGAAACGGGACGACTGGGTTTCTCAGTTTTGCCCCTGCAGATGCCAAGTGAGGCAGAGCAGACTCAAGCCCCTGCTGGCCCCAGCTCCAGCTCTGAACTTCAGAGGATGGTTTGGTATGGAACTCACCAGGCTTGACCAGGCATCCAGTTCCTTCTCCTTTGAAAACACTCTTTGGCCTTGAGGATGGCCCTCTCCCCCAGTCCTCAGGGCAGAGCAGGGTATTCTCTTCACTGGCTCACGAGGCCTGGGTGGCTCCAGCCTACACCCAGCATGCAGCAGAATCCTTCTCCCCAAGGAAGCCTCTGTACGACCTCCCCTGCCCTGGAGCACCCTCCTCCTTCAAAGGCCCCTCCTTTCCCAAGGCCAAATGCCCAGAAAGGAAGGAAGCTGAGTCTCTGGCCCTTTATTCCCAACAGGAAAGTGCATCTGCATTGTGGGATGGGGTGGGGAGGGCTGGGCGCCACTTCCTTGGGGGGAGGGGGTGTAGGAGTCCTGCCCAACCCATCCAGGACCTCTTACGTCCTGTGCTCAGGACACAGACTCAGGTGAACTAGAAGGCCCTAATTTGGGGTAGAGAGCAGTGTGTGCAAATATGGGTGCAGACAACATCGCAGTAGGAAAACTGTGTTGATGGCTCCTCAGAGGGAGGGTAGGCACCCCTGCAGAGAACTGAGAGGCTGTTGTGAGGAAGGTGTGTGGTGGGTGATGGTGAGAGAGGGGTAGGAGGGCTCTGAAAGCTGTGTTTGTCTTGAGAGTTACAGGGGGCCATGGAGAGGACCACCAGGTAGTAATAATATAGTGGATGCTGGTTACCACCCAAATCCACCCTGCGGGACCACGCCACTTCTTCCCCTAGCTGTCCGGAACATAGGTTGCTAAGATGTCACAGCTGAGTCTCTCACTCAGAGTCAGGGCACAAAGGCCTGATAACCTTGTCTGGACATGGACCACCTTGGAAGGGCCCCACCTCAGTTTCAGGGCTCCTAACAGGATGGCCTGAGACCTCTATTGTAACTGCATCACAGTTTAATTCACCTTTCTCCTCAATTTTGCGTGTCTTACTCCCTTACAGATGTGGCTCCTCAATATACTTCCCTGCAGACAGATTCCTGTCTCAAAGTCGGCTTCCCAGAGATCCTGACCTAAAGTAAATGATAATAAATATTGATGGTATCAAACATAACAAAACGGTACTAGCCAACACCTAACCCTTTCTACCTGCCAGGAACTGCTCTAAGTGCTTTACGTACATGTGCGCATAGGTAAGCATGTTTGCATTGGTGGGAAGATGGTTACAATTCCATGGTCTCTGGGTACTGCAGGGTGGGGACGAGAGAAAGATGAGGCTGGGATCAGGGAAGGGGAATGGGAGTGGACACAAGTGGGCCCGCTAGATGCACCCAGTGCTGGCTGTTTGGCAGGAACTGAAGGGCAGCAATGGGGTCAGTTAAACCAAGACACTGGGACAGCTTCCAGGAGCAGGTTGGGGGAAACACATTGCGGTCATCAAGCAGCGTGGTCTCCTCTTCTGCAAAGGGGACAGGCTGGGTATGCCTGGAAGGTTCTAGTGGCTTTCCCTTCTCTACTGCCGGGGCTGCCCCCCTGACTTCCTCCACCTGCCCCTGAACCCTGTCCCCTCTCCCGGGATCCCCGGATTGTCTTCGTCCTCTTCGGCGGTTGGACATTTGCTGATGGTCCCCGAAGTTTTGCAGCCGTGTCCGCAGAGAGGAATTGCGCCGGGTTCCCTGGGAGGGCGCGGAGCGGAAGCGGAAACAGCGGCGCTGGCGCCGGCGGCCGGGTGGCCAGGAACGGAAGCGGAAGTGGCGGCGGCGCCGGCCTGGCCTGGCCTGGCTGAGGGGAGGCGGCGGGCTGGAGCGATGGCGGAGGCCGGGCCGCAGGCGCCGCCGCCCCCGGGCACCCCAAGCCGGCACGAGAAGAGCTTGGGACTTCTCACCACCAAGTTCGTGTCGCTTCTGCAGGAGGCCAAGGACGGCGTGCTTGACCTCAAGCTGGTGCGGCCTGGGCTAAGGGGCGGCCGGGAGGATGGTGGACCAGGCAGGCCCGGACCGGTAGTGGGAACCCCTGGGGCGGCCCCGCTGAGCCCTCGGAGGGCAAAGCGCCATCCGTGTGCTTGCTCACAGGACGGAGGCCGGGAGCGGTTTCATTCATTCAGCCGGAGCCATTGGGCGTCCGCTCTGTGCCAGGCTCTGGGCTGCAGGCGGTGGTCCTCGTGGCCCTCCTCGGCTGGTGTGGGGACATCAGTTCGGACGGTGCCGGGCCTCCTCCTGTCCCGCGGTCCCGAGCTGCTGCAGTGCCTGGGAGGAGGATTGGGACTCGGGCCACCCCTTTTCCAGAACCCTTCCAGACTAGGTCTCAAGGTAGCTGGGGGGACACCTGAGAGTGGGGCTGAGTATCCTGCACTCTGTTCTGTCTGCCAGGCAGCTGACACCCTTGCTGTGCGCCAGAAGCGGCGGATTTACGACATTACCAACGTCCTGGAAGGTATCGGGCTGATCGAGAAAAAATCCAAGAATAGCATCCAGTGGAAGTGAGTGGGGGCACCCGGGAGAGCAATGGCGTCTCCCACCTAGAAGTGTCAGGGGTGTGGGGAGGAGGACACAGGAGAGAGCAGGGGCCACGGGACCCAGAGTTCCTGGCAGCTCCTCTCAGCCCCACTCTCTGGGCCCAGGGGTGTGGGGCCTGGCTGCAACACCCGGGAGATTGCGGACAAGCTGATTGAGCTCAAGGCTGAAATCGAGGAGCTGCAGCAGCGGGAGCAAGAACTGGACAAGCACAAGGTGTGGGTGCAGCAGAGCATCCGGAATGTCACAGAGGACGTGCAGAACAGCTGATATCCTCCTGGCGGTCCCTGCTCCTGGGGAGTGGGCAAGGGGCCCTCTAGTCCAGCTGGGTTTGCTCTGTGGTGCCCTAGGCACTATCCCTCTTGGGAGGATGATCCTGCAGCTCCTGGCCAGGTCCCTGCCTTGGCCTCCCTCCTCAAACTCAAAGCCCCTCCCCAACCAACCTTGGCCTGTGATTCTTCCCTATGTAGACCCCAGGTCCCAGGACTTTCTCTGAGAGCTTTTATGTCAGATCTCTGCTAAAGAGCTGGGTTTTCTCTGTGGTCTGCCATTTGTCACCATAGGCAGGGCATCAGCCGTTCTCCTTAACCCCCACACCTTGGCCTACGTGACTCATGAGGACATCTGCAGATGCTTTGCTGGTGAGCAGAGCCTGGGTAGGGGGACATGGGGGTGGGGCTGGGCTGAGCCACAGCCTTGAGCAGTGGGCTCAGTGCCCAAGGAGAGTTTAGTCTCTTAAGAGGCTTCCTTAGGCTTGCCCAAAGAGGAACCAGGCAGGGTAAGTCCTGGGTTTGAGGGTCACCAGGACTCCATGAAGGCAAACCATATTGAAAGGGTACAAGAGTTCTGGGCTGGGTCCCTAGGTCAGTCCCCATGTGCACTGTTCCCTGGGCTTGGCTTCTCGAACATGACAGAGGCATAAGGGGGACAGAGCATGTGCGTACGCATTTGCATGGTGTTCCTTGCAACCTTATCAGTTAGTTGCATTACAAATACAGGAACTGCTCCTTCTTCATCCTGCATCCCCTAAACTGGTTTGGAGAAAGAACATTGGCCTTGGCCAGAACATCTTCTAGGGACCAGCCCCATCAATCAAGGAGTGAGATGCCTATGGCCGGCAATCCTTCAGTCCACACGTTTGAGCCCAGATTTTCTGGTTACTGACCCTTGGGCTCTTGGGAGGAGAAAAGCTTTAGTTTTCTGCCTCAGCCACTGTGGTGGGGGTCGGGTGAGGCTTACTGTCCTAAGAGACCATGATTTCTTCTCTTGCTCAAAGGAATAGGTACCCCTATTCTCAGATTAGATTGAGCCCATGGGCCCTGACTCCTCTTCCTTGCCATTCTAGGAGATACCCTCTTGGCCATCCGGGCCCCGTCGGGCACCAGCCTTGAGGTGCCCATCCCAGAGGTGGGTGCTCAGCCCAAGCAGGCGGGGTTGATTGAGGGCGGGTGCTGGCTGTGGAGCCCGATAAGTCCCGGGTGGGGCAGGTAGGGGGTGGCCTGGGCTTGGGGTTTATCTAGAAGAACGGGCAGCCTAGGGTGGGAGAGGACACTGGCCCCGGCCCAGGGTCAGGCTGGCAGGAGCCAAGCCTGCTTCTCATTCCACCTGTCCCTTACCCCCCACCTCCAGGGCCTCAATGGACAGAAGAAATACCAGATTCACCTGAAGAGTGTGAGTGGCCCCATTGAAGTGCTGCTGGTGAACAAGGAGGCATGGAGCTCACCGCCTGTGGCAGTACCTGTGCCACCACCAGAAGATCTGCTCCAGAGCCCACCTGCTGTCTCTACCCCTCCACCTCTGCCCAAGCCTACCCTGGCTCAGCCCCACGACACCTCACGCCCAAGCAGTCCCCAGCTGACCACCCCCACCCCTGTCACTGGCATCACTGAAGCCCAGGGGGTGCCCGGTACAGCAGCTGAGATCACAGGTGAGGTAATAACAGGCAGCTGGTGATAGAATGATTTCTGGGGCCCAGAAGGCAATACCTCTGTGTTGTGGAATGCGTGCTCAGAGTTGGGAGAGACGTTGGGGAGGATGTCCTTTTCCTGACCTCCAGCTGGCCTCCCCTTGCTGTGGTCATAAACGAGCCCTTTCTAATAGGCTCTGATGGTGTGAAGGGATATTAGTGGTAACAGTTTTCCCCAAGTCCGCTTGTGTCTCCATTCAGCTCCCCTTGAAGTGTGGTCATAGGAGTCATGTCATTCATGAGTCTCTCTCCTGCAGGCGTCATGCTCCTGTCTCCTTTGGTGGCTCATTTCTGCATTACCTCTGCAGGGCGCTGGCCAGGGGCAGGGTGGGGGGGACTGGCATTGCTTATCTCTCCTTGGGCCTGGGAATCGGGACTCTTGTCATCCCTACTGTGGGTTCTAGCACAAAACTTCAGTATCCCACTTCCTGCTCCCAAGTGACTGGGTTCAGGGGATCTGGTTGCAGTGAGTGGTGGCCCTGGAACGGACAGCAAGGACGGTGGTGAGCTCGGCTCCCTCCCACCGGGCCTGGCAGCCCTGGACACTCGGCCGCTGCAGTCCTCTGCCCTACTAGACAGCAGCAGCAGCAGCAGCAGCAGCAGCAACAGCAGCTCATCCGGACCCAACCCTTCTACCTCCTTTGAGCCCATCAAGGCAGACCCCACAGGAGGTGAGTGCATGTTCCCTGAGGGGCAGGGAATCTGGCCGCAGCCACTTCTAGGTCAGAAACAGCTGGGGCTGGAACCTAGCTCTCCTGTCTCCTCAGCCAGAGCTGGCCAGCCCCCACATCAAACCTTGTTTTGACCCCAGAGCTCTGCCAGCCTGAGTGAGGAGCCTGGGCTCCACAGAACTCCCAGGCCCCTCTCAAGCCTTGCCTCCCCCGCACCGCCCTACCTCCCCACTCCCTTCCCTGGCACTCAGGTGTCAGGAAGGCATAATAGCTGTCCTGGGGATGGGGTGTGGGAAGGCACTCAGGCTCCAAAAGTGGGGGCAGTGTCTTCCCAGGGGACGTGATGTCATTTGCCTTGAGTCTTCTTTTTATCTTGCAATTTGGGTATTTGCTTCTAGGACTCGTTCTCCTCAGCCCACAAGCACCGGTCTCTTCTCACTGACACTTTGTCCTCTGTGTTCCCTCTCTCATCTTCACTGGGTCCTTAACTGAAACTAGCTTTTCTCTGTCAGTGTGTACCCTACTATTGGCCCTGGTCCCTAAGGCCTGACACCTACACATCATTCTGCTTCCATCTCCTCTTCGCTTTGCATTAACTGAGTTTTGTCTCAGACATCTCCCATCGCTGCCTTCATGTCCTCGTACTCAGGGTCATTACTGGCTACCTCTGTCCTGAATTCTTCTGCATCTTCCGCTCTACCCTGACTGATAGGGTTGTCTGAAACACAGGTTGTGTGTGCCATTTCTGAGTTTACAGAGTACCTCCAACAGCTTCTTACGGGCTGGTGGGTAAGAGCAGAGGCCCCCCCCCCCCACCTGGCATGTGCAGTCCTCGTGCACCAGCACTCCGCTAGTTTAATTTTCCCCTGCTTCCCACGTGTGTCCTCCAGTCAGACCTTTGTAGCAGACTTGTCACCCTGTAGCACCAGCGCCTATCGAATGTCTGCCTGCTTTGCCAGATGACCTGGTCCCGGGTGTGGTCGCTGAGCCTAGCATTGAGCAGGTGCTCAGCAAGGGCAGGAGTGAGTGGGGCAGCCGCCATCAGACAGGGCATAACTACTGAGCCCGTGAAGGGAGAGGTCTGCTGCCTTTCTGCAGCACTTCTGAGTTAGAAGGGCCGTATCAATCACCTGCGATGAGCCTTTAGTACCCTGGGTACTAGGAGTTCACATCTAGCCGGGGAGACTGACAACGCCAGCTTGGCCTGGGGCATGCCCTCCACCTCCAGCTGTGTGGAGCCCCAAGATGGGTGGTAGATCTGAGGAAGGTGGGGGCTGGAATGGGACCAGACTGGATCTCTGTGCCCTCGAGCATGGCTTTCTTGTCTTTCAGTTCTGGAACTCCCCAAAGAGCTGTCAGAAATCTTTGATCCCACACGAGGTAGGTCTGCACTCTTCCGTGGGGTAAGGGTCTCATGGTTGTTTTCTTGCACTTCTGAGGCCCTGTGATTGCGTTTGGTACCTGGACAAAAAGTTCTTGATGGGGGGGGTGGTGCGTGGAGGGTCCTCTTCATGGGCTTTGGTGGGTGTAGAGCCAGGAGCCAAAATGTAACCGAGCTTTTCCTCCCTCCAGAATGCATGAGCTCAGAGCTGCTGGAGGAGCTGATGTCCTCAGAAGGTGGGTGGCCCAGGAAGGTGGAGGGTGGGGGTGGGGGTGGGGGGGTGGGCAACTGCTGGGGGCCGTGCTTGGCCCAGAGCCTCAGCCTGGTGCTCTCTGCAGTGTTTGCCCCCCTCCTCCGCCTTTCTCCACCCCCCGGAGACCACGATTACATCTACAACCTGGACGAGAGTGAAGGTGTCTGTGACCTCTTCGATGTGCCTGTTCTCAACCTCTGACTGACAGGGACATTCCCTGTGTGGCTGGGACACAGACTATGTGACCTGGGGGCTGCCTGAGGACCTCCCCTGCTCTATCCCTACACGGCTTGAGAGCCACAGACTCCTGGCTTCCCCAGCCTTCCCTCACTGCAGTTCTGATCAAAACTCCCACTCCTGCACGATTAGAGCACCTGTACCGTGCTAGGAAAGCAGGGGAAAGGGGCTCAGCCCCCTTCACCATGGAGCCAGAGTGTTTGCCTCTCCTTTTCTGGGGCTTTCCCCCACCTCATGCCCTCTCAGAGCCCTCTCAGAGCCAAGGCTCGGCTGCCACTCAGTGGCACAGAACTGAAGACCTGCCATCATCCCCATAGGGCAGCTTGTCCAGCCCCACTGCCCTGTTCCAGCCAACACCTCCCACTCTGGGGAGGGAAGCTGAGGGTGGAGCCAGATGCTTGTCAGCACCACTCCGAGCCTCCTTCATTTCTCCCCACCCCTGACCCTGCAGCTCCCCCTAGACCTCTCCTGTGTACCCCTCATCTGCTGGACCTTTAGCTCTGAGTACCTAGGGGGGGTGGGGAGGAGAATGGCTGTCAACCAGAAGGAACAGAGGTCTTTAGCTAGAAATCTGGGCAGGTGAGCCCCTGAGGATTGGCCCAATCTCCTGCTGCCCTGTAGACCAACCCTCCCTTCTTGTTTATTCATTTACCCTCATTTAGAGCCATTTGCAGAGATTTAGAAAGATTTGCAGTAACGAATGGATTCCTATATAAAGATTATTTTTATACTTTTTGCAGCAAAAGGAAATTGTAATATTTGTACAGTATCCAAGTGAATAAAAAAAGACCATGCCTAAGGCTATCTCTGATCTGGTTCTTTCAGGGCCCCTCCCTGCAATTCTGCTGGATTGGTGGTGGGACCGGGCGGGTCACCTTTGTTGGAAAGGGAGGTGTGGCTGTTGCGGTATCCCGCCCTCCCCGCCCCCACCTGGCGCACCTAGCGGCGGGGCGGGGCTGCCGGGGTGGGGCGGGGCAGGGCAGGCGCCTTCCCACGGGACTCCAACCCGGAACTAGTCTCGGCTCCCTTGGGAAGGCCGCGGCCCCTGTCCAGGAGCCGGAGCCTGACCCGTGAGTGCGGGCCACGGGTCCAGGCCTTGGACAGAGGGACACCCTCGTTCTCGGAGGCACCAGACCAGGCGCTTCCTTGGCCGGACGTTGGACGGTCTGGAAACTACAGGCGCTCCTGCTCCGGCTGGACCATGGCGCCCCCGCGGAACGTGGTGAAGATCGCGGTCCAGAAGCCTGACGCCATCCCGCAGCTCATCCGCCTGGACCAGGTCACTCGGCCTGTCTGGCCTCCATTCATCCCACCACCCACCACCGGGTCGCCCCCTTCCCCTCGGAACCGCCGGGTTCCTCCCCACATCTGCCCCACGAGTGACCTCTCCACTTGCAGGCAAAGCCCCTGGCCGCCGTTGTGAAGGAGGTGTGCGACGCGTGAGTGCAGGCCAGCCAAGCTGGGGAGGGGAGGGTAGGGGAGGGGAGGGGAGGGGAGGGGAAGGCAGGAAGGAGGGGCGCCCTCTACCTACCTGAGCCTCCGCTCCCCACTCCTCGCAGGTGGAGCTTGAGTCACTCGGAACGCTATGCCTTGCAGTTTGCTGATGGGCATAGGAGATACATCACTGAGAACGTGAGTCTCCCCACACCCCCCACACGCCCTGATTCCAGGCCCCTATCCCACCGTGTGATACCCCTCACTTCCAACCCACCTGATCTTGATTGCTCACTCATCCCACTGGAATGTGATCTTTCTTTTCCTGACTCCCTCACCAACAACCCCGATTAACAAGTCCTCGGAGCCCTTCTTGACTTCTCTCCCTTTCTCTCCATCTTCTCCAGAACCGCACAGAGATCAAGAATGGCAGCATCCTGTGCCTCAGCACTGCCCCAGTAATGCCCTTCCTGACCCCATCCCACTCCCTGCCCTTCTCTGCCGCCTAGCCCCGCTCTGGAGGGCCCCATCTAGTGGACATCTGAGACCCCACACCTCCAGTTCCTGCTCCTTCCACCCAGCCTCCTCACCTCTCCTACCCCTGCCAGGACCTTGAGGCTGAGCGGCTGTTGAGTGGGCTGCAGAGCGGGAGTCGTGAAAGGCGTCGGGAAACTCTGCAGCACCTTGTCTTGCTGGCCCCAGATGTGACCTTTGCCCAGGAGGTTATCAGTCGTGATGGGCTTCAGAGACTAGGCACTATCATCGAGGATGGGGATGAGTGAGCACAGGACTGTGGTGGGTGGTGGACACGGTGGGGCTAGGGGTCCTGGTCTGGCCCTACTCAACTCCAGATGTGCCCCCAGCTTAGGGGAGGTGCTGACCCTCACGCTGAGGGCCTTCTTGGAGCTCATGGAACATGGCATGGTGTCCTGGGAGACGCTCAGCATCCCCTTTATTAGGAAGGTGGGTTGGCTTTTCTAGGGGCAGCAGGTGAGGGCAGTGGGGTGGTGTCAGGGTCTGGCCTTCCATGGTGGTGAAATGGTAACAATCCCTATCCCTGTTACAGGTGGTGTCCTATGTGAACATGAACCTGATGGATGCATCTGTGCAGCCTCTGGCCCTCAGGCTGCTAGAGAGTGTGACCTTGAGCAGCCCTGCTCTGGGCCAGCTGGTCAAGAGTGAGGTGCCACTGGATAGGCTGCTGGTGCACCTACAGGTGTAAGTGTCTAGAGGTGGGGTTAGAATACCGATGAAGGGAGTGGAGCCAGACCCTGAATAGCCAGCTGAGCCCTCTTCTTGCCCCAGGATGAACCAGCAGCTACAGACCAAGGCTATGGCATTGCTGACAGCCTTGCTACAGGGGGCCAGCCCCACTGAACGTAAGGTTAGTGTCCTATCTGGTGACTGGATGGGGGTGGGGACAGGGACAGGAGCTGGCAGTCACTGTGCTCCATCCTGGGACTGCAGGATGGGTGTTCATGGTGGGGTTAAATCACCTAAGCCCCCTTCCCACCTATCTCAGCACATGCTTGACTACCTGTGGCAGAGAAACCTCCGCCAGTTCATCTATAAGGTAGGAAGGACTGGGCTAGGCAGTCCGCTCCCCACTTTTCCTCCCCCCTGGAAGCCTACACTCACACTTATGGACTGGTTCTTTTCCAGAATATCATCCATAGCGCAACACCACTGGGTGACGAGATGGCTCACCATTTGTATGTACTTCAGGCCCTTACATTGGGGCTGCTGGAGCCACGCATGCGGACGCCACTGGACCCCTACAGCCCAGTGGGTGCCTTTGGGGTACACAAGGCTGGGGTAGCTAGAGCACGGCCTTGAATCTATGATTCTGACACCCCCTTATCCCATGACGACCACCCCAGGAACAGCGGGAGCAGCTGCAGGCCCTCCGCCAGGCTGCCTTTGAGTCGGAGGGGGAATCTCTGGGTGCTGGGCTAAGTGCCGACCGTCGCCGTTCCCTCTGTGCCCGCGAGTTCCGAAAACTGGGCTTTTCCGTGAGCGACCCTCCCTAGCTCCCTACCCCTGCCTTACCACAGGGCTGCTGTTGTTCCAGAGGCCTGGGGCCCTTATTGCCTGTCCCACTTCCCCAGAACAGCAACCCCGCGCAGGATTTAGAGCGCGTGCCCCCTGGCCTGCTGGCCCTGGACAACATGCTCTACTTCTCTAGACACGCACCTAGTGCCTACAGCCGGGTCAGTAACAGGGTGGGTGGGATACAGCGGGATGCCCACCTAAGCAGGTCCCCATGGCCTTGGCTGTGCTCCCTGTCCCATTCTCTTTTTCTACCACCCCAGTTTGTGTTGGAGAACAGCAGCCGTGAGGACAAGCACGAGTGCCCCTTTGCCCGGAGCAGCATCCAGCTAACTGTGCTGCTGTGTGAGCTGCTCCGCGTCGGGGAGCCCTGTGAGTGGGACTGGGCACAGCGTGTCTGGGAACGGGGGACGGAAGGGCAGAGAGGGCCAGGGGCTGCACACACTTTCTCCCTGAGCCCCTCCTGCCCCCCTGCTCCAGGCTCCGAAACAGCCCAGGACTTTTCACCCATGTTCTTCGGCCAAGACCAGAGTTTCCATGAGCTCTTCTGTGTGAGCATCCAGCTGTTGAATAAGACCTGGAAGGAGATGCGAGCCACCCAGGAGGACTTTGACAAGGTGGATGGGGTGGAAGCAAGGAGACCTGAGCCAGGGAAGGGGCTGTTCTGAGTAGGGGTCCAGAGCACAGCCCTGAGCTGAACTTGGTGGCTCCAGGTCATGCAAGTGGTGCGGGAGCAGCTGGCCCGCACTCTGGCCCTGAAGCCCAGCTCCCTGGAGCTTTTCCGAACCAAGGTGAACGCACTCCCCTATGGGGAGGTGCTGCGGCTGAGGCAGACAGAGCGGCTCCATCAGGAGGGCACGCTGGCCCCTCCCATACTGTGAGTTGGAGGGAGTGGGTCCCCGTCCTGGCCCCCCTTCCTTCATGCCCCAGATGCCTTGCCCCAGGTCAGTCCCAGTTAGCAAGACTTCCCCTTACCTTCCTCCCCGCCCAGGGAGCTACGGGAGAAGCTGAAGCCAGAGCTCATGGGCCTGATCCGCCAGCAGCGTTTGCTCCGCCTCTGTGAGGGGACGCTCTTCCGCAAGATCAGCAGCCGGAGGCGCCAGGGTGGTTGAGTGGGCAGAGGGGTCCAGAGAGCAGCTGGGCTGGGGTCAGGCCACTCTCGTCATTCCTTCCCTCTTCCTCTCTGCTCATAGACAAGCTGTGGTTCTGCTGCCTGTCCCCTAACCACAAGGTGCTGCAGTATGGGGATGTGGAGGAGGGTGCCAGCCCGCCCACCCTGGAGAGCCTGCCTGAGCAGCGTAAGGAGGACGGGGCAGGGGGCAGGGTCAGCCACTTGCTTGTCCCGGGACCGCCTGGGTCCCAGAGGTCAACCCAGCCTTCTTCCTGCAGTCCCTGTGGCCGATATCAAGGCACTGCTAACAGGAAAAGACTGTCCCCATGTCCGGGAGAAGGGCTCAGGGAAACAGAACAAGGTGAGTGCAGTGGAGGCCGGGGGGGCTCCTTCCCCTACCTCCCACCCACACCTGCCCTGATCCCCGCTCTGTGCTCTCCACTTCCTGGCTCCCCCAGGATCTCTATGAGTTAGCCTTCTCAGTCAGCTATGACCACGGGGAGGAGGAGGCATACCTCAACTTCATTGCCCCATCCAAACGGGAGGTGAGTATCTGGGGCAGGCTGAGCCAGTTTGGGCGGGCGGGCCAGGGAAAGAGATGGGAAGCCCTCACGGGCTGGCCCCGTCCCAGTTCCACCTGTGGACAGATGGGCTGAGTGCCCTGCTAGGCAGTCCCATGGGCAGTGAGCAGACTCGGCTGGACCTGGAACAGCTGCTGACAATGGAGACCAAACTGCGGTTGTTGGAGCTGGAGAACGTGCCCATTCCCGAGCAGCCACCTCCCATCCCTCCACCCCCCACCAATTTCAACTTTTGCTATGACTGCAGCATCACGGAACCCTGACAGTGAGATTGGCTGTGGGCCACAGCTGCTGGCATTGGGGACCATGAAGGGCGGAGGGTGGAGGAGCCCAACACCCTGACCAGCAGAGGCTGCCGCAAAAATAAAGTCCGCTTGACTCTTGGGTGTGTGTCCAGCCAGTTCTGAGACTGTGGGCCAAGCCTGCCTTCAAACTGAGCTGGCAAATGAGATGGGGCATCAGGCCAAAGTCACTGCTTGGGGCCACAAACCCGGGCAGTGGCAGTTGAAGGACTGGTGTTCTGAACGAGGGCCTGGAGACAAGCTGGCCCTATTGTCCTTCCACAGGAGGAATCCTCAGCCTTCCTCCGTGCTGGGCCTGCAGAGAGGGATGGCCTATGGTCTGCACACCAGCCAGCTGAGGGCCAAGTGGCAGGGTGGCAGGTGTTGCCCTAAGTGCATGCCTTCCTGGGCCACATTAACAGGGGCCTAGTTTCCAGAAGGTTCCTGACAGTCCTGCTTGGCCCTGCCAGGAGTCCTTTTCAAGACTCGGAGGCCCTCTTGATGAGAGGCCTGTGGGACAGATGTGAAGCTGGGTCTGTTTTGTGCTGAACGGCAAACTCAAGAATCCAAATGTGTCCCCAGGTGGTGGGAGGATAGAACTGATGACAAGAGGGAATTCAATGCTGGAAGCCTTGTGTTCTGATTCAGATCTCCTGCCAGAGCATGGATATGGTGGGGGCCACAGACAGGCAAGGCCCCTGGGGGCAAAAGTGGCTGGGGGTATTAGGCCCTGCTGGAGGTCAGTTTCAGAGGCTGGTCCCCCACAGCGCAGGCTGAGAGCTGCCACCACTCTGACCTCCTCCATGCCTCTCATTACTTCTCTTTCTCAACACCTTCACACACACCTTTTTGAACAGTGTTAACCTTGAAAATTGATGAAATGGCATTTCCTTTGGAGAATGTGCTGGAGGCACACCCGCTTCTGACTCAGGCCTCCAGGGCCCAGCATGCCCACTCTTATGTTCAGACTTCCCACCACACTTGGAATAGTTCAAGTTAAACTTGCTATTGAGCTCAAGATGGCAATCAGGCGTGGGGATCCCAGATGCGTTAAATCTTCCAATACCATCAGTTCTTCCTCCCCAGTGTCTCCACTCCCTTGTCCAGGCCACCAGCATCGTGGCGAGAATCTGACTTCCTCCCTCCTGTCTTGTCCTTGCAGTCCTTAGTACCCAAGTGCTTTTTCAAACACGAAGCTGATCAGGTTATACACACTCACATGCACACTACCCCCATCCTGTGTTTTTCAGTGCCTCTCTGTTGTCCACGGGATAATGTTCACAGTTACCTGACTGAGCAGCTGGGATAGATGGGTTGCAGACATGTTGTGGTTGAGGATGTCTAACAAGAGACCTGTGGCTTGCAGAGTTCTCTGTGCGGGCTCCAAGCTGGCATCCTCCCTGCAGCCCATGGCACCCACCCCGTCCTCCCCAGCACCACCTCTGGCCTGCCATGTGTGCTTCCCTCATCCTTTGTCATTGCCCTCTTCCTTCCCTTCTCCTTTTTCACTGCCTTGAGTCTTTCCTTGATCTCCCAGGCTCTGTTCCTTGCTCTCCTAGGCTCCCAGGTCCAGGCACTGTTCCTCTATGCACACCCTATGCACTGGCCTGTCCTTGTCTGTCGGCTAATTTGCCTCCTCACCTGACTTGGGGACTAGGAGAGCTTTGGCACCTCTGAATCACCACATAAAGTGCAGTGTCTGCAGGCACTTGGGCAGCCGTGCTAGGTGCTCCTAGAACTGAGGGACAGATGGACAAAGTTGGTGGACAGATACTCCAATGACCTACCCAGAGATACTGTCTTTTTTTCTTCCTGAAGACAGCCTCACTGCATCCTTAATCACTGTGCTCCTCGTGATGTGCCTTTGCTGCAGGACATGCCCGGAGGCTCATGCAGAGAAAGGCATCCAGGTTTCTAGTCTCTCACCATACTGGGGAGGAAGTTAAGACTTGCTGGAGGCACCTGTAGGGCTTTTGGTCAGGTGTAAGGAAGAAATTGTCTACGTGCCTCTGGTGTTTTTTCCACATTGTCCCTGGGCTAGGGTGGGCTGCTTCACCTGAAGTGGGGGGTAGGGGCTGTAGTCTGAGAACTTCAGACAAGGAGGTAAGATTTGGAATTTTTAATTTTGTTTGGGTTTATAACAAAGTCTGTGGCTTGGCTGCTAAAGCTCAGTGCTAGTAGAGGCCAGGAGAGCTCCTAATAGGGAACAAGGTGAGGCACAGGCCTTAGGTGTGAGAAGTGGGCAGGGCAAGAGGCACAAGGTCTACTCTTCCCCAGTACCAGATGCATCCCACCTGTGGGCCTGGCCTCCGGATCCAGGCCTGTCCAGGAGAGCAGGAGCTGGCATTTCCAGCGGCCTGTGGAACATAAAGCTGGAACATAAAGCTGGAAAAGGCTCCTGCTGAGCCATAGGGCAGAGTGGGGCAGGAAGCCCGCTGGGCTGCCCTGGATTAGTCCTACCCCTAGTCCTAGAGAAAGGGGTTTATAGCTTGGGAAAGGGGCTTTGGGGGCATGTGGCAGAGGAGGGCAGGAGGCACTGAATCAAACCAGGTCAACAGGCCAGGAATGGGGACTCTGCTGAGGCACAGGGTTGGTTGCTGACCTGGCCTAGAGCGTTATGGTCAGGTCAGCCCCTCCCATGAAGCGGGACTGGACGCAGGTCACCTGGGGCAGTTGGGCTTGGAAGCACCTGACGGCAGCCATGCTGATACGAGGGCACATGGCCACATCTAACATCCGGAGCTGCTTGCATGCTTGCCCAACGGTATCCAGAGTTCTGTGGAGAGGCCTCTGATGAGCCCCTGAGCTGGCATGGGGACCCAGCCCAGCCCCTGTACCGTGACGTCCTCAGACAACTCACTGTTCTGTGAGCTGCCCACAGCTGGCCAGGTTGAGGTGCTGCAGCCTAGGCCAGGAGCTGGCTGCCTGGGACCAGCCCTCGTTGCTGAGGAGACTGCAGTGACTCAGCACCAAGCGCTCCAAGCTGGGGCAGCCCCTGGCCACGGCCACCAAGCCCTTGTCCGTGAGTGCTGGCAATAGGCTCAGTGACAATTGCCTCAGCTCAGGGAACTGGAGCACCTGCAAGGATGGGGGTGTGGAAGGGTATAGCATGGTACTGGGCCCCAGGGCCCTTCCAGGTTCTCCCACGCCCAGCCGGAGGAATGGCAAAGCCAGAAGTAGCAGAAGCCAAAGAGAATGGAACGTTTTCCAAGCAAGAAGTGGGTTGACTTGGGCCTGGGTCTAATGCCAAGATCCTCAGCGATCCACCCCCACTGCCCCAGCCCCACACCTTGGCCAAACTGGCATCAGTTAGTTTGCTGCAGGCTGTGAGGTCCAGCTCCCACAGGGCCTGCAGCATGAGCAGGGAAGAGCCCTGTGGCTGGGGAGAAGGGTCCTTGGGGCCCAAGGCTTGATGCTCCAGCTCTTGATGTAGCTGTGGGAAGAAGCTCCTGCTCTTCAGGTTCCTCCTGAGTTTGGCCCTCAAATGCTCCTAGACAAAAATACTTAGGAGGGGCAGGAAGGCAGCTGTGCCCAGGGCCCCCGCCACTCGCATGTCCTGTACCTGGGGCTCCTGTGTAGGTTCGTCACTTGGGTCCCCCAGCCCCAGAAGCCCCCAGTCTCGGAGCTCCTTGCACCAGGCCAGGCGCAGGACTGACAGGTAGGTTAGGGAGGCACGGATGGCCTGCTGGGTCCTGTTGGTGAGGGCCACACAGGAGGATAAGTCTAGCACCCTGAGGCTTGGGCCCAGCACTGGGATGAGGGAGTATACTGAGGCATCCTAGGAGGGAAGTGGAGAGGGGAGACAGCAATGGGCAGGTGGCAAAGGGTGGTGGTGGGGGGACACCAGGAGGAGTTTGCTGGAGGACTGAAGCCTAGATAGGCTGGGGCGGGAAGGATGCAGGTGCAAGTTTCTGAAGAACCTGCCCCGTCTGTGCTCCCAGACCTGGCTGGAGCCGTGCGCTGAGGCAGCCCTCTGACCACAGCTTATTGGACCATCATGGACATCTGACCTAGCTGAGCCAATCAGATGTGCTCCCTCTAGAATTTGAAGCAGAACTGTGAGGTCACTGTGGGGGTAGGGCTGCACCTGCCAGGAGCCCCAGCTAAGGGCAGAGTAGAGGAAGCTGGTTCATAAAGAAGTAAGAGACACAAGAACACAGGGCCCCAGGGAGAGCAGCTGAGACGCCTGGTGCTAATGGGAAGACGGGGTGGGGCAAGGCAAGAGGAGTGCCTGTGGAGGAAAGACCGAGGGACGAGGGACGAGGGACGGCTTTTAGGTTGGGAATGCCCTGGGCACATTGAGAGGCTGAAGAAACCATCCACTAAAGAGGGAGAGACTGACATTGCCAAGTTAGGGACACTGCCCAGGGGGACAGGGCTGAGCCCTACTGAAGGAACTGGCTGCAGCCAACAAATGATCGTGACTTGCAGGTCACATTACCTTGGTCAGACCTGTGGAGCAACCTCCTTGGGTAACCTCAGTAGCCATTCCCCACAGAGCCCCCTCGTGCCCTCCCTGCCTCCGGAACACCCGCTGGCAGTCCTCCTTCCCAGGGGACTTACAGGGGTCTCCAAGCACCTGGTGCAGGAGGTGTGTGCCGGCTTGTGGGCTGGGCCAGCCGGGTCCCCTTAGTCCTCCCTCTATCCGGGCCCACAGTAGGGGCTGAGGGGAGGATGCTGACAGGAGCACTGTCCGTCCAGGCTCCTCTCCCCGTGTCCTTAGCCCAGTTCTCACTGCTGTTCCCTGGCCATCAACACGGGGCAATGCCTCCTCGCTGCTGCAGTTGTAGCTTCCCCAGCCCCGAGGAGGGAAAGGAGGGGATGACGGGCTCACCTTGAGTGAGGAGCAGTAGGCCAGGCTGAGGGAGGCGAAGGGGGCTGGAGCTTTGCGCCCTGAGCCCAGGGCCCGGGCCAGGCCCCACCCGCTCACCCGGCCACACTCTGCCAAGTTCAGGCTGTGCAGCTCCTGCAGGGCCCCCAGGGCTGTGCATCCAGTGTCCGTCAGCCGCTGCAGCTTCCTCAGGCGGAGGCACTGCAGGCACGCCAGGCCGCAGCTGATGGCCAGGAGAGCCCCGTCAGCCAGTTCTGAGCAGCCACTGAGGTCCAGGGAGGTCAGGCCTGATTGCAGACGGCAAAGGGCAGCCACAGCCCCTGTGGAGAGGTCCTGGCAGGCACGCAGGCTCAGCTCCTTCAGCTGCAGCCCGGCCACCTGAGCCAGGGCCTTGGCAGCCTTGGGGAGCAAGCCGGTACCACTCAGGTCCAGGCCGCATAGCCTACCAGCCCTTTCCTTCACAAATTGCAGCAGGTTGTGGAAGGAGGGTTGGGAGCAGGAGAAGTCTTGGGGGCCAAGAGAGCCCTGGGCTGGGCCTAGCTCAAAGGTGAGGTGACAGTAGGCCAAGGAGAGGCGCTCCAGGTTGGGGGCACAGTGGCGGAACCGGCTGAAACTGAGGTCAGTCAGGTCCCACAGGCCAGCCAAGTTGAGCTCATGGAGGCCACTCCACACCTGCTGGACCAGCTGCGCCGTCTTGGGCTGAGCTATCGGCATGCCCGATAGGAAGAGGCTGTTGCAGCCACTGAGGTCAAGGATACGCAGGGCCGGGCAGCCCAGGACCAAGGCTACAAAGGACGCCTCTGTGGGGTTACCCCCACTGAGGCACAAGCTCTGCAGATGCGGGCCCAGGTGGTAGGCCACAGCCTCCAGCACCTGATGCGAAGCTGGCGAGCCACCCAGGTTGGTCAGGCCGACACACGTGATGCCCCTGAGGCCCAGGCTCTTGATGGCCGGAAGGGAGGCAGAGGACACAGGGATGTTGTACTGCACATTTGTCTAAGGGATGGCAGCAGGATGGGGGTTAGCCCTCTGGCCTCAGAGGATATTGGCCATCAGGTCTGGTGGCCAGTCACTCGCAGGTCAGGAAAGGGCCCTGTCACAATGGGGACCCACTGTGGTGTGCAGTGTCGTGTGTGGTTGAGGGGGTGCTGGTGGGAAGGGGGAAGATGAGTCACTCTGGGGCTCAAAGGGGATGCCTGTGAGGGGAGGGCAAGAATGTTAGCGATGGATGGGACTGGATGCCTACAGAGGAGCAGGGACAGGGTAGAGAGCTGGCCTGCTGGGTATAGGGGGTTGGGATAGCCTGGAGGAGAGCCAGAAAAGCCGCTAGGGGGCAGAAGGACTAAGTATGCTGGATCCCAAACTTTGGGACTTTCAAAAGGTGCCCTGAGACCCATGGGCTCAGCTCCCACTCCAGGGAGTCAGAGCTCAGCATTAACTAAGCAACCAGCCTCCCTCACTTTTTCAAGAGAATATAAATAGCCCTCAGAACAGCTGAAGGCAGTTAGAAGCAAAGCACTTGTCACTCACCAAGACTGTGGGTGGCCCAGGTGCCAGAGGCCTAGGTCAGGCAGTGAGCCCTAGATCCCCTGGTGGCCTTAGTATCTCAGCCACATGAATGTTTGCAAAAAGGGGTTTTGTGTATGTGTGTACCAACATGTGTGAGCCCCGCAGGATCCAGAGTTCAAGAAGTGCTTGTGACCCCTGGGGCTCATCTCTGGAGGGTCTGTCTTACCTGTCCAGATAAGGAAGGAGAAGCCTCCCACTTCTGTGGGATCTCAAGAGGATGAATCTTGAGGTGCCAAGAGTGTGGGGCTGGCCTTGCTATAGGGGAACAGAGGAATGAGAGTGGGAAATCCATGACTGGTGTGGGGTGGAGCCTGGAGGTGGGCTCAGGGCGAAGTTGGGGAGATAGCCTGGCTTGTCTAAGAATTTAGGGAATCCCAGTTTTCATAGGACCTTCCGCGATTTTGTGCCAGAGGGGAGTTATACCAGGTGTGGGGGAGGGAGAGGAGGGCTTGGCTTCTCCTCTGCTCTTGATGGATGGCTAGGTTGCTGGCAAATGGTACTAAAGGCTCTTGTTTTAATGTATCAACATGATCCTGATGCAGGAAAAGAAGCTCTCTAAAATATCTGTCCTGTCAGTCCCTGCAATAACAAGCTAATGCTCCCTGATTCTACCCCACAGAACGTCATCAAAAGGGATTCAGAAAGGTAGAAATGACACATAATATGCACTCCTGCAAGATACTTATCAACACGATTCTCCCAGGAAGACACAGGAATCCCATTCCTGCGTGGAGAAACCAGGCTGACTTCTGCAATGGAGAGAAGCAGCTCCTATAGCTGCCATCATGGGAAAGAACGTGTGGGAAGAAATGGGGGTCAGCTTCTGCCAGCTTCCACAGGAATCAGGGCTCAAACCAGGCTCTCTGTCCAGACCCCATCCCGGGATGTGGTCCTTGTGAAAGAGAGGAACACTTCCCACAGCTCCCCCTCGTGGACGCTGGGAGGCAGCGGACTAGTGGGAACCGCAAGGGCCTGGGTCCCTCTCTCAGATTTAGGGAGAGTGAGAAGATCCCAGTGGGCGGGGAAGGTGATTCAAGGCGAGGCAAAGATCTGGGAGGAAAGGTTTTAGAAGGAGGGGTAAAGCCGACCTCCAGCTGTTTCCAGGCCCTGAGACCGAGGGGCCAGTGTGATGATGGAGAGTGAGCTGTGGCTGCAAGTGCAAGACAGGGCCCGTTGCTGGTTGCTGAGGCAGCGCCACCCCTGCCATCATGTTGTGTCCCTCCCCCCACACGCTCCAGCAACCACAGTCCTTCATTTCCTTCCTTCCTGAGCCATGGGGGCCAGGAATGTCTTGTTCTCCCCTCTCCCACTGCCTCCCTACGAACAAGGTAGATGAGCAGCTGAGTGGGGGAGCACCGGCCATCAGCCTAGAGTCCAAGTCCAGGGCTGACTGGTGGCAGGAAAACCCCCCAAATGTAGGGGCAGAGTTTGGTCTAAAGGCTTTCCAGCAGCTGTTGGGAGATGTATGAGAGTGTGTGTTGAGATTTGAGACTGCCTCCCTGCTCCCCACTGTTTTCTATGGGGAAGGGACAGCCTCTAAGGCATCATCCAGGTGGTCTGCCCTGGACTCCAAGTGCAGGCGCCCAGGAGCAGCCCTTTCGGGATACCGATCATCTGTGGGGAGCAGAACAGCAGAAGGAGGAGGCTGCTGAGTTGTGGTCATTGGCCCCAGTGTAGGAGGGCCCTTCCTAGGCCCAAGGAAGATGCTTCTAGAGGTCCAAAGGAGGACTGTAAGCTCTAGCTTCAGCTGCCCTGTCCACAGAGGAGCCAACCAGCCCCCCTCTCCCTCCTTTCCCAATGCTGGCCTCCTAAGAGTAAATACCAAGTCATTTGGGAAGTGCCCTAAATCTGCTAAGAGGGACACACATCCCTTGACTGTGAGAGGCCAGGATTTCATTGTACCTTGTGAAGCCCTGAGCTGAGACTGTGGGCTTGTGTGCAGACTTGGAAAGCCATCTGATAGAGGAATGGCTGTCCTATCTGCTGGCACAGGAATCATATATTTTCTTCTGGAGAACAAAAGAAAATGTAGGCCCAGGCACCCATGGGCTTTAGTCTCTAGAGAAGAGTTAGACCTTGGGGTCATTTCCAGTGGCTCCGCTGGCCCTTTATAAATCCCCCAGGTAGGAGAAGGCAGTGGAGGGCAGAAGCTGAGTGGTCCAGAGCTTCTTCACGGTGACCAGCCCAGGAGCAGACAACCAGGGCTCTCCCCAAAATGCGCAGAGCCTGGGTGTGTGCAGTGGCGGCGGGGGGAGGGGAATTCCCTTATCTACTTTCTTATTTGAGAAAAAATATGCTTAAGTGGGGGCAAGTCACAGAGAATAAGAAATCACCAGTCCAGCACCCTCGCCTGGCCTGGTGAGGCCTAAACCCCAGCCATGCCTTGGTGAGCCAGAATCTTTGGTAGCACCTACTAGCAGGGGGCACTACTTCCTTACCATCTGGGCCCTGGGAGATGGCTCCTGCCAATAAGTTCTATAAACTACTCTCTGGGGCGTGGTGGTGGTGGGATGTCAGCAGAGCCCTAGGTGCCATGTACCCATGGCCTGGCCTTCCAGTGCTCCCAGCCCAGTCGACATCCCATCTAGAGCTCACGGTTAGCTGGAGCAGCCCCGGTGCCAACATGGTAGACTCTACGGTCTTGGACTCTGACCCTGGCCTCCTCGTCCTCACTCTCTTATCCTATGCCAGTCTACTACCGACTGCCCACTTTGCTACTCCTGCCCTCTCATTCTTTGCTGGACTCCAAGAACCTCTCCCCTGATCACCTCCCTTTGGGGTCCTGTGGCCCTGCCCCTGCCATGCTGCTGTGCCCCTTCTTCTTGCCCTGTACCCTCCCCCCGCAAGGCATTATGGAACCGCTGCCTCCTCTTAGTTTGTGCTGGGGGTACAGAACTCATTTGTGGAAGCCACAGACTCCCCTCTTGCCTCCCCCCCTGCCACCTCCACCCCTGGCTCTCTTATCCCCCTCAAGGTTTCTCTCCAAGCTCACCATTCTCTCCAGTCCCTGATGCAAAGGTGGCATCCTCCCCTTACTCCAACCTTCGACCTTCACAGAGAAGACCTGTTCTGTTTCAAAAAGAAGCCAAAGCCACCATGTGAGAAGACACTCCCTTTGCCCTGCTCACATCTACCAGCCAGCTCCCGGCAGGACCCATCCTAACTAATCTTCCTTCTCCTGCTCTCCTAATCCCCTTTTCTCCACTTACTGGACCTGCCCCCACCTTCTCCTATAGGAACCCACAGTCCCTGCCGTTCACTGCTCCTTCCTCAGTTTACAGATACCCCGGAGTCATAACTAACAAAAGGCCTCCATTGGTCCTACACCCTCTCTTCTCACCACTCCTGCTTCTCCCCTTTCCTCGGCACTCAGGCCTCTTGGCACGCCCATAGCATGCAGCCACCTTGTTACCTCTTGCCTCACCCACTCACCCCTCCATCACTGCCCCCACAGAATCTCTCATTCCTGGCAACAGCTCCCCGCAAGCACGGTCATCAACATTTGGGGGCTCCTCTGTAGGCCTCCCACGAGTATCCTTTCTTCCACACCACCTCCTACAGATGGCCAATCTCCCCCGTGCTATCTTCCACTGGGGATTCCATGGTTCTGCCTGCCTGGCTCTCCTATCTTCTTGCCTGCTCCCCATCAGCCTCTTTTGGGGCCACCAAAGAAGAGAGGGACCCAATCCACAGAGGAGTGAGCTCCACCAAAGGGGTACTTTCCACCCCACCACACATGCACACACATGCCCACACTATCCGTTGCCCTCACGTGCACCCTGGTAGACTGCACTTCATCCCATTCCAACTACTTATTTGCAGTCCACATCTTTTTTCCAGAACGCAGACCCTGGGAACCTGAGGGAACTTGCCAGATACACGGAGGCAACACACATCTGAATTCACTGTCTTGTCCCCTGGCGCTGCCCCTTCTCCTAAACTCTCAGTGCCCTCTACCAGGTCACCAAAGTCAGAGATTGGGGAGCCATTCTAGACCCTCCCTTACTCTGCACACCCAGTGACCAAAGTCCCTTGCATCTCATCTCCCCAAGACACTGCAGCCTGTCCCCCGGCTCCCAGGGTCTCCCTCTTGCCTTAGTTCAGGTTCTGGTATTGTCTCTCAGAAATACATTATAGCAGTTTCCTCTTCTGAGGGTCCTGGCTCCAGGTCTTTCTGGCTCCAATCTAGCCTTGGTACTGTCACCAGATGATTCTTACAGAAGGCAAACTGTGCTCTTCAACCCCCTGATGATTCTCTCCTCCGCGGGCTGGAGCCCTGCAGCACTGGAGCCCTGCCAACTTCAAGAGCTCCAGCTTACCCTTGCCCGCCCCCTTCCTCCCCAGCCCTGGCTCTGGGAACGGCAGCTTCTGATGGTTGTCTTATGCTGCCAGGCCTCTGCTTGGCTGCTTTTTCTGTTTGGTCATAGGGCTAGGGTGGCACCTACTCCTACTTGTCTATTTAGCAAATATTTATTCCTTTTTTCTAGGTTCAGCACAAGCATCCCCTTCTCCATGAAGTCTTTCCTAAATCTTCTCTCCATCCCCCGTGTGCTACACAGGACTTTGAGTGTGGTACCCCTACTCACTCCTTTTGGCTTGTGCTTACCTCCCTCTTACTACCAACTCTCAAGTGCTGTGCACAGGGTGAGGCACAGACAGGCAGCATCCATCTGAGTGAGTGAGGCCTCTGTGAGCAGCTCTGGTAACTTGCCCTTCTGCCCTGTGAATATTCCAAGCCTCTGTGTTGAGACTCTGGCCTCTACCTCTCTTCTTCCTCCCCTAAGACAATGTGGCCTCCAAATTTGCCCAGCAAAGAGGCCACAAACCTCAGAGGGACTTCCTCAGCAAACCGTGCCACACTGCCGCTCCCACCTCTCCATGTCCTGCGCAGGAGAGGTGACATCCTCTCCACCCTATCCAAGACCAGGCCTTGTATTACCTCAGGTGGCATCCTCTATTTCTCACGTCTCTTCTTCATGCATTCACATTCACCCCTCCTCTATGATTCTCCTCAGCATATGAACACATTTGAGATTTCTCCCATTGAAAATTCTTTGTTGAATCCCCTCAACCTCTCATTATTGCCCTATTTATTTCCTTCCTCTCCTGGGGAAATTTCTTGCAAAAGAGGTCATTTTCTATATGTCCCTTCTTATCTCATTCACTCTTCCACCTTCCTGGCTTTTCCCCCCAGATGTCAAATGTTGCTGAAGTCACTGGGGACCTCCCTGGACCTCAGACATCATGGACAATATCCGTTCTTTATTTTCTGGACTCTTCATGGGATTTGGCACTGTTAGTCATGCACTCAGTCCTGTAAAGCTCTCCACTTTAGATCCCTGGCATCTCTTCTGTAGGTGCCTCCTCCTTCCCATGCCCTTGGACTGGTGTACTCCTCTGGGGTATTCTGTGACTTGCTGTTCCTATGGCTTTTCATGTGCTTCCTGGGAGATGTGACTTAGATCCATGGTTTCAACCTCCCCTCATTCTTTAATGATACCCAACTCTGTATTTAATATCTAGACCCTTCTCTTGAATTCTTCACTCAGAAATCCAACAACCAACTGCCTCTCACCATCTAGATGCCTCATACTTCAAATTTTCAACAAGTCCAAATCAAATTTCTTTAGACACTAAGCTCAGTGACATTAGATAGATAACGTGACAACAGACCCTACTTTTATACACACATTTAATATATGACAGAGGAGGAGTCCAACACAGCAGGAAAGAGGAAGATTATATGTAAATGGTATTAGGGCTATTTGAAAACTCATCAGTTTAGCTTCTTACCTCAGAGCATAAATCAAAATAAATTTCACCAATTAAAAATTACTATAAAAATTCAAGCCATTAAACAGAATAAACAATTTTGTTGTGAACCTAAAACCTCTCTAAAAAATTGAGTCTAAGTAAGAAAAAAAAAGGAAGAGAAATTTGAGTGTACATTGAACATTGAATCACTGAAGAGGTAAGGGGTCTCTAAGTTTAAAAAGCAATGGAAGAAATAAGAAAGCAAAAGATATTCAGAATCAACAACATAGAAATTTAACCTCTGTATCTCAGAAATAAGTATGTATCTACAAATCAAATACAAAGGCAAATATATTAGGAATATGTTTCAATAAGTATCTGAAAGATTCATCTCTTTAATGTATAAAAGGTTCATACAAACTGATAAAAAAAAATACGAAGATGCCAACGGTTAAATGGATAAAAACCATGAATAAACAAGAGAGGGAAATACAGCTAATGAGAAAACTCAGGAGTAATTAAAGAGGTCAAAATGAAAACAAGGAGCTGTCACTGCTTGCCCTTCAAACTGTCACAGATGTGTACGTTCATCTCCTAGCTGGGCTGTCTCCCCACACCCTGACTCACCCTCTCCAGTCCATTCAGCATGGCAGAGTTCTAAGACACATCACATCATATCACTCCCCTGCCTTAACATTCCTTTAAAGGCTGCGTGATGGTCATCAGGATGGAGCCTTAGCACTAGTGCCAGCCTTTGGTTTGACCCCTCTCTGGCCTCATCTCCCATCACTTCTACACACATTTTAGTTCTAGTCATATGGAACTTGTGTGGTTGTTACCAGAACTATTTCATATTTCACATCTTGGTGCCTTTACCTGTGCTGTCATCAGTGCTGGAAGACCAACCTTCACCCTCATCCTATCCCATCAGGAAGCCTTCCCTGATGCTGCTGGTCTCCTCTAGATGTCCTTCTTCCTGTTCTAGTGGCACCCATAATTCGTGTCACAGCATCAAGCACATGATATCATGGTCACTCATGTCCTTGTCTTTCTCCTTCACTGGGGTAGGGGACTATGTCTTACTCATCTGTAGAGTCCAGGCACTGTACCCAGAGTCAAGTGTATGAATGTAATGTATGTCTATGAATGGATGAATGAATGGACGATGTATAAGCAGGGCCGTGGGCAAACTGAAGTGAGATACAACTGAGAATGGGCCAGGTGAGGGTGGCCACCTTACCTCCCGAAGGGCATTCTGGGCTGCAGAGTACCAAGCCCGACTCACGAGGGAGGCCTCTTTCTGATCTGACAGAGGCAGGAAGATCAGAATATATGTGAGCATCTGAGGGGAAAAGACAGAGGGCATTGGGAACTGTTAGAACTGGGGGCCTTTGGAACCATCTCCAGTTCATAGTACCATCACTCTAAGGGCAC